ATAAATATATATTACAAGTGATTCTGCTTTGATTCAAGGGGATTCCACATTGTTTTTACGAGGTCCCCCCAGTTTGTTGGGTCGCTGATCCTGACTGGCATCTGCTGATCACGTGGGCTAATTGAATAATTTGCGTTGCTTCCCTTTAAAGGGGGCTATTCTCTGGTATTTCTCCTAATTCCTGTGGCTACAAGTATCGCAGTTCATGCTCATTATATAATTGCCCACACTAGCATAAGACCAACATGATGGTCATGTAAACCTTTTGGTCGTCGTGAAACAACCACCTGTACAATATGGCGTTGAAGTGTGTAACGGCCCAGACATGTGACGACTGCCCGTAAAATATTCCGACTCTGGACCAGACGATCAGGTGACAATTTCTGTAATCAACATCTTCCTATCAGTTAGAAATACCTGTGCATGATACTGAAAAGTGTGTTTGAGCGTGTGTGTAAGTGTGTCACGTATATACTGAGGGAAATATATAAGGGAACACGTGGAAGTGTCTGCTCGTTCTTTTCAAGATTTCTTTGCATGCTTTGTATTGCACTGTGGGTGAAAATCACCTGACAATGAACAAAAGAACACCGCGATAAAGTGGGGTGTTCCCTTATTTGTTTCCCTCAGTATATGTAGGTAAATGTGCGATATCTACTGTACATGCATCTGTCAATTAGTGTGTAATGAGAGAATGTCTTATTACTATTGTAGACACAAAATATGATCAAATATAAGCTGCTCGTTTACTTGACCGTCCCCACCACAATCCGGATAAGTGAGTGAGTGGGTTTAGTTTTAAGCCGCTTTTAGCAATATTCCGGCAATATCACGGAGGGGAACTCCAGAAATGGCCTTCACACAATGTACTCGTGTGGGGGTTCTTCGGCGTGACGAGCGAACGCTTTAACCATGTACTGGGTTACCCCACCGCCTCGGGTAAGAAAGAAAACAACACAACCAATGGGACAATGGCACGACACACGATTGTTCGGGAGGACGTTTTGGCTTCACGAACCAGTTATAGTCCAACTGACGACTGGGCTTTGTTTTATTTCATATCGCAGCTTCCTTTTTCGAACAAAATCCGCCAAACTAACAATACCGTTTTTAGAGGACGTAGAACTGTGAGGATTCTGGTGGCTAGATTTTCGAAGCTCGCTTAGCGCTAAGATATAGTGCCATACATTAACATTAACATACGACTTTCTTAGCGCTATGAGAGCTTCGAAAATCTAGGTCCTGGGTACCGTTGTACAAAGCAATCTTAGACTTAAGGTAGTCTTACCGCTAAGGTTGTTTTTGTACAACGGCACCCTGGGCCCTTATTCTCCAAACGTTCGTAGCCCTAAGTGAGTGAGTGAGTTAATATTTAACGTCACATCGGCAATATTTCAGACATATCGTGACGAGAACATCCGACATTGAAATGAAATATATGTATATTATAAAAAATCTGCCGACGAAGAACAGTAAAACAACTAGAATATCACTCGTAGCCCTAAGAATTCTTAACTTTGATTGTAGCCAATGTGTTAAGAATGGGCTTAAGAAGTTCGTGGATCTACGAACGTTTCGAGAATAGCTAGCCTGGTCTGTGTGTTTATGAAGATTTGTTTGCTTGTATTTTTAACGCCACACACACTCAGCAATATTCCAGCTGTACGACTGTAAATATTCGTGTCATTGATTTTATACCCCCCTCCCCCCTGGTTCGATTCCCCACATGGGTACAATATCTGCTCTCCCCGCCTTGACTTGCTGGAATATTGCTAAATGCGGCGTAAAACTAAATCCACTCACTACTTCGTAAAACAACATTCACTCACTACTGCCCCTCCCTACATTCGGTCTCTGATTTTTGACGACATGGGTTCTCGAAGTGGCAGCCTGAGCGGATATAGATGGCAAGGAACGAACCATGTGCCAGTATTAATACACATTCAAAGCAACAATGTACCGGTTTTACACACGGCAGTAATTGCATTACTGACAAAGGCGAGATTGTATGGAAGCGTATTAGTGCCACAGTCGAAAAAGATATCATCCACGACAGTATCATCTATGCAGATGTAAGTATGATCAAGGTAGAGGTAAGTAACATCTAGGTAGATGTAAATATCATCTACGTAGATGTAAATATCATCTAGGTAAATGTAAATATCATCTAGTTAGATGTAAATATCATCTAGGTAGATGTAAGTATCATCTAGGTAGATGTAAATATCATCTAGGTAGATGTAAGTATCATCTAGGTAGATGTAAGTATCATCTAGGTAGATGTAAATATCATCTAGGTAGATGTAAGTATCATCTAGGTAGATGTAAATATCATCTAGGTACTTGTAAGTATCATCTACATAGATGTAAGTATCACCTGCGCAGGTGTAAGTATCACCTGCGCAGGTGTAAGCATTATCTACATAGATGTAAGTATTATCTATGCAGGTGTAAGTATTATCTACATAGATGTAAGTATTATCTACATAGTTGTAAGTATTATCTACATAGATGTAAGTATTATCTGCGCAGGTGTAAGTATTATCTACATAGATGTCAGTATTATCTACATAGATGTAAGTATTATCTACGCAGGTGTAAGTATAACCTACGTAGATGTAAGTATTATCTACATAGATGTCAGTATTATCTACATAGATGTAAGTATTATCTGCGCAGGTGTGTAAGTATTATCTACATAGATGTAAGTATTATCTGCGCAGGTGTGTAAGTATTATCTACATAGATGTCAGTATTATCTACAAAGATGTAAGTATTAAGTAGATGATATTTTTGTAGACTGCGACACTAATGCGTATATAAGATTATCACCGGGCCGTAGTACACTCTATCCTTCGTTAATCTGAAAGAAGATTAAAATGCCTGAATTTGTAATGACCACACTGTATGAGGTAAGCTAATCCTCTTTTTGGTAAAGAAAGGAGACTAATTAGAAAAAAGTCATGATTCATGCGTAACCATGGCCATAATGAGACACGTGATATTTATTTCCTGTAAGCATGCGCAGTCTTGTTTATTCTCGACTCGAATACTTAGACCAGTCTTATTAACCACCCTGGTTTCATCACGACTGTCAAGCCTGGCCTTTGCTTAGTGTGTCCGTTTCAACACGTTGATGCACGTGAGGAAAGCTGAATAACTATAATATTTGCTGACCGTTGCTGACCGTCTCCTGTTACCCCGAGAAAGTCTTGTAGGTTATGGATGCAATCGGTGACCAATTTTATGATATTTTCTGGAGGAAAGTGAGGAAAATGATTTGCCAACCGGTTTGCAAGAAAAAGCAATTTCTTGAATCTGGTAAGAAATATAGATCGTGAAAAACTTACAGTCTCATTAAATCAGATCAGATGTCTTATTCGACTCCTCCGTGAAGAAGTGTATCGTGTTCAGAGTGAACGATCGTATTTTAACGTGTTTTGCTAAAAGTACACGTGGTGATGGTGACTATTGTAATTCTGGAGCTGAAGTGAAGACAAAATTGCCTCATGAATTTGAAATCCTCTTTATCATTATGCATGCATAGTTTGTATACCATGTTTAATTACATATACCAGACTTATAAAATTTTGGTAGTATAAGTTAATTATTTAGCCGTTATTTCAATTATTTGTACATAGTTTCAAATTTTTAGAATAAACTTGAAATGCCGAAAAGTATAATCGTGATTACGAAAATATCGTAAGTAATGAGAAAAATCTCGAAATTACGACACAACACCACAAGACAAGTAATTAACACAACGATAAAGTCTGTTTCCGTAGGTTAGAAGAAAGAATTGGTGTTATTTCCTCTGTTGAATGATTAGAAGCATATTCATATTCTAAGGGCTGCCCAATACCATGACATATTGGAAATGTATACAAAATATTTCAACCTGACAATTACATTTCAAAATTAAGGATATTTTACAAAATGCAGCTTTATTATTTAAAAACAAAATGAGCCATTTTCATCATGACAGTATTTACCAAATGTTGACCCCAAATGTTTCAGGATATTTAACATATAATTGTTTGGTTCATTTGTCACTATAGTAACCATACTCCTTTGTCATCTCGGGCGTTCGTCCAGTATCATTTGTTTGTTGTTTAACGCCACATTCAGCAATATTCCAGCTATATGACGGCGGTCTGTAAATAACTGGACCAGAAAATCCAGTGATCAACAGCGTGACCATCGATCTACCCAACTTGCGATGACATGTGTCAACCAAGTCAGCGATCCTGACCACCCGATCCCGTTAGTCCCCTCTTACGAAAAGCGTGGGTTGCTAAGACTAATTCTAACCCTAATCTTCACGGGTCTCGTCCAACATTTCACGTGTGAAATACCTGAAATACTAACAAAGCGGCGCTACACAAACTAGGTCAATCGTTCAAATAAATTTATATATACTGGTCTGATTAGTCCCACGCCGGCCTTTATCCTCCCCCGGGCTGCAGAATAGGTTTCCAGCCCCTAACATTTTGTCCCCTAATGAGGATTGGTGATTCAAAGGGAGTGGGTGATAGTTAATGCGATCTACCCATTAACGCCATTGGAGATGTAACTCTAACGACCCGGAGATCCTAATTGACAGTGAGTGAGTGAGTTTGGTTTTACATCGCTTTTAGTAATATTCAAATATTACCACATAAGGGGACACCAGAAATGGCCTTCTCACACCGTACCATTCCCACTGTAAAATTTCCATTCGTGGGATTCGAACCACGGACCTTCTGATGCGAAGTCGGACGCCTTGTCCACATGACCAAAGAGGTTAACCCCGTCGGCAAGCTGACAAGGTAAGGATGTCATCTGTGGGATGATTCCACGCCCTGCTACATACCCATGTGGGGAATTGAACCCGGTCTTCGGCGTGGCGAGCGAACGCTACCCAAACGCCCCTCGTTGGCATTGAACCGGCGACAGTGTCAGTTGAATATTGTAAACAATAACATATGAAACTATCACAATAACACAACAGTAAAAGTTAGTACTGTTTATATCGTTTTTATTTTCTTATCATATTTCTTTTCAGAAATATCCCTAACATTGACCGTACACTTTTCCGTTGAAAATCACACATTTTGGATTTGGTCTCATTCACAGCAAGGAACATAGAGTTTAACAAAAATTAGAACACAGCATCTTAAAATTTCCCTTCACAAAACGGAAGTTCAATTCTAAACCCCCATGTAAAACTGATAATAAAAAACAGTTTTAACGAAAAATGGAAAAGTATGAAGAGAGTTAAACTGAAATATGCATAATGTTTTGTTTTATATAGCGATGTGAACATAGTTACACCGCATGTTTCTCAGTTGATCTTCAGTTTTTCCTTCCTCTATTACGTTTTAAGATTTACTTTAAAGATAACAAAGAAGAAAACGTATCGATCACAAATTATTTCCGATACATGTGTACATATTTGTACATTAAATAAGGGACCGATTATTTATTATGGGATGTGGTTGAGGAGGATGTTGTGTCAGTTTCTGATGTTCTAATGTACTGAAAATAATGACCCCCCCCTTGATGCTTACCATATTTTTGGATGACCCTCCCCAGATTTAGGTATTATTTTCACAACCCTCCCTGAGAGACTATCATACCTAGTTTTATCCTCTCCCCTTAAGGTAATAAATGACCGGTCCCTTAATACGTGTAGAATCTAAAACCGTTCAGGATATATCAACAAAAAGTTCAGAACCTGTTCCCCAGCTGTGTTAAATATGACCAAATATTTTTAAAAGTTTAAAGTTTGTCCAAATAGTTCTCGAGAGGCAGTATCGAGGCAGCTATCTGTTTCCTCGAGCGGATGTCCAACACTTCCTGTCCAGCCCGTGACGTTGGGTCAGTCGGGTCACCCGGTAGTAGTTGCCAGTGGTCAAACAGGCATTGTGGGAATGCTTGTCCACCTGTGTGGGCCCTCAACGCACTGGTGAAACCTAAAAGAGTGGAAAAGGCATAATGAGGTTATTAATTAATACATATGTAGTATTCTATCTCATGGCCTGAAAACATGCTATTGGAAATCAGGTTTTACAAAACCCACTGAAATAAGCGTGTGAAGCAAAAGGTTGGGTGAGCGTGTCAAAAATCGGTATTAAAGGTAGTGATTGGTCTGCCTTTTACAAACATGTAAGGACCCAACTCAAACACGCACGCACGCACGCACGTACGCACACACACGCCTAGACGTTAAAGCGTTCGCTCGTCATCTGGAAGACCCAGATTCGATGACCCAAATGGGTGCAACGTGTGAAACCCATTTCTGGTGTCCCCCTCGCTTTCTACTTTGCTGAAACTGAGACCAGACTCCCTCACTAACACACTTCAATGTGGCAAAAAGAACCATGGCTTTCAATGTGGTGGGTGAGCACCCAATAACTATTAGCTCAGTTCTGATTAGTAATAATGCCTGAGAACTGTGAGAGATGGACAGTATTCATAACTCACCAAAAGACTCATTGACAGGCATGTGTGCTTTGATGGTGCACGTTGGATTGCCCGGATGATGGATCTCTTCAACAATCAGACCTCGTCTCTTGGCTAGCACATTGAAAACGGAGCCGGCCACTGACTCGTTACACTGGAAAAACAACAATGAGATGATTAATTTACGACATGAGTTCTAGTTTTCAATTACACAACTACTGCTTCACGTATTTGTTTCCAATTACTGGTCGTGTTGTTGGGTTTATGCACGTCAAGAACTAACACTCACCTCGACACTGACGAGAAACATGGGCTCCAGCAGCCTCGGTTTGGCTGTCAACATGGCGGCCATCATGCATCGTCTTGCGGCGGGTATGATCTGACCTCCACGTCTGTGACTTGGGTCACGGTGGATGTTGGCGTCCACGATGTTGTACTGGACACCACGTACCGTCTCTTCACAGAGAACACCCTCTGACGACCCCCACTGGAAGCCGGCCACCACGCTGTCCCGGATGTCCTGCAAGTACTGCACTGCTCGTGATTTGTCCACAAGCATGTTGGGGCCACTTCCGGCGGGGCCGAAACTCCAGATTTTCCTTCCCTCGTTCAGGTCAAAGTCGAAATGGTCGGCAAGATAACGCGCACGTTCCTTGCTTTCCTGGACTGCTGTTACCGTGTTCTGGAACAAAAATGGTAGAACATATTGAAATATTCCAGAGGAAGAGCACTTCAACAGCGTAACCTTTGTTGCTGTCATTTGATTGGGGGAGGTGCGCAGAGGATGACGTACAGGTTGATGGGGGTTGAAAATAAAATAGAATAGAATAGAATACTTTATTGCCTTTTCAGGAATTTGTGTTACAAAGCTATGGACACATTAGCTACTGAAATAATAATTGATAATAATTGATGTCTGTAGTGATTTGTAATAGTGATAAAAAATAACAATTTCAAGGGATATTATTTAATATTTCAATCACATGTTCCTCATACCTCGTCAATCTCTTCAGCGAGTCCTTCCGGTAATGGTGCTGCAGTCATGTACAGCCGGCACAGCTTATTGGAGGACTTGGCAAGACACACTCTGTCCGACTCTGCGCTCACCGTCTCCCGGTAGCTCACAACAGGGTCAGATTTCTGGAACATGAATTTCAGAATATGTAACCAGCGCTCGTTATTAAAAACTAATGGCTATGAGCGATCGTATTGCGGGGATTCCTGAACGCGAGGCCAATGGAAGGCTTTTTTCAAGTTTCCTTTTCATGATGCAAAGGAATTTGTCATAAGATTACTCAGACTAATCTGTGTCTCTCAAATATATTACAGGAATTCATGCAAGCGAGACGAAGTAAAGGTTTCTAATCTCTGACTCTGTCCGTTTCAGAAAACATCTGTAAATACAAATTAGCTCTATCGATTTAACATCAAGAAAAGTAAAGTGACTAATCCAGACCGCCTTTATTCCGGACAAAGCCCGATTCGTGGTGACGGGGGATATTATTGTCTGTTGTTAAAAAGGACGCCTGTTGTTAATGTAGAATGACAACTCACCGTGATCGGGACACAGGCGTAGTCCTTCTCCAGGTCCTGGAGGCAGATCTCGAGATGAAGCTCCCCGGCACCCGCCACGATGTGCTGCCCCTCCTCCGAGTTGCACTGCACCATAGGGTCAGCCTTGGACAGCCGCTTCAGTCCCTCCACCAGGCGGGGCAAGTCGGCGGGGTTGACCACGTCAACGGCGACACGCACCACCGGGCTCACGGAAAACTTCAGAACCTGGAACAAATATATACACTCAGCACATTTTGAAACACTGTTCCCTAAAAGACGACAAACGTTGACAGTACAGGAAGTGATCATTTCAAATAGTAAGTGTGCATGGCGAGGGGCGCGTGCGCGTGTGCGTGTGCGTGTGCGTGCGTGCTAGGATCTGCTTATCTTCACTAATGTTCGAAACCCAAATTCGACCCATCTATGGCGATCTGTGAGACTACATCGGACGTGGTAAACGGACATACATCTCATACATACAGTATTACCCTTTGAAGTCAATATTTACGGAACTTGGAAAAATTAGACATAGAACTTACAGAAAGTACAGACAAAGGATGAGACAAAAGCCAACTTTGTAATTTCCTATGTTGCTATTCAAGGTCTGAAAGATGGATGTTCAAGGGTTACTCGAGCAGTTCATTAAGTGAGGTTAGTTTTACGCCCCTTTTAGCAATATTCCAGCAATATCACGGCGAACGCCAGAAATGGGCTTCAGACATTGTACCCATGAGGAGAATCGAACCCTGGCCTTCGGCGTGACGAGCGAACGCTTTTACCCCAAGGCTACCCCACCGCCCCAGTTCATAAAGAGAAGACGTCAGTTTTACCTTGAGTTGATGGGCCTGCATGTAGGTGGTGATTGTGCCGGTCTTCAGTAGATACTTGTCAATGCCGACCAGCCCCACCAGATTGCCGCACTGCACACTGTCCACACGGAGAACAGCTCCACCCATCATGATAGCAGTGCTGGGAACATATTGACAGACTTATATAGACCATACACACCTTCAAAATGGGAAAACGGATCAAGAAAACTTTCATAAAACACTTCAAGATTCCAAAAGCAAGATTCAATTAGTAGATATTGTGTATAATTGCGATCACTTTCGTGCTAAGTCATTGCTATTTTATTGGTTGATATATAGATCAATAAAACAATCAAAATATAAAAGGAATCAGGAAAGCTAAAATGGGCTTCACTCATTGTACCATGTGGGGAATCGAACTCGGGTCCCCGGCGTGACGAGTGAACTCTTTAACCACTTAGCTACCCCATCGCCCGTAAACTGTGACACATACTGACATTCCTATATGGTACATATAGTATAGTACAGAGAAAAGACTGATCTCATGAAGAGAGAATATTAACAATTAGCTCCGAAACGTCGTGTTTACAAATAAAGGAGATGAAGAATGTGGACAATTTGTTTTAAGGCTATACAACTTCATTCTGTATAGGCGACGTTTCGACAGTGACATTAGAATCTAAGTCGCCTATACAGAAAGAGAAGTTGTATATATGTCCATAAAAAAATTGCCCTCATTCTTCAAAGAAGATGATGTCCAAAACAAGCAGACGGACTCATGTTCATTGCTTCTAAATGACCTTCAAAGCACTCCTGGAAACATCAATTGTCTCCATCAATATGATAACATGTATTCCGATCACAATATGATTGGAATCTCCCTACCTGGCGATGTTCTTGTCGTAGTAGTCGGTCTTCTTCTCAGCGTTAGGGTTGTAGTTGGGGCCCATGATGCGAACCTTTTGGCCCGTGAAGGTCCGGCCGGAGAACACCCTGCCTATGGCGTAGAAGCGGCCCTTGTCTGTAGACGGGACCATCTTGGACACATACAGCATCAGGGGTGCCTCAGGATCGCAGTTCTTCATTCCTGAATTACCAAAAGGCATATATAAAATTCAGTTAAAAGTATACCAGATGAATGTTCATGTTTTATGAAACATATTAGAGTGGTCCCGAACATGTAGTCTGACCTTGTATTGAAAACAAGATCGTTAATATAGAGGTCGTATTCATATTAAAACCAATGCCTGTGTTTGGGTGAAATATATTTCTCAACTGTTCTTCAAATGGTTATTGCCTGCGTTATTTTGTTTGTTGTTTAACGCCTTACTCCTACTCTGAGCAATATTCGAGTAATGTGATTGTGATCTGTTTACATTCGAATTAGGACCAGCCAACCAATGGTAGACATGATGAGAATTTGGGTTTTATGGCTAACAAGTGACACTATTTTGCGACACTCTGTTACTTTCTGTCATTTGAGGCGGCTGTGAATCTCCAGAAAGAACTTACCAATCGCCACAACATCATCCTGCGGTCCTTCGTAGAGCACTGCGGTCCTGTATCTCTGAGCTGTCACCGGGGACGGCAGATGGGTGAGGATCATGTCCAACATGGCGTCGGCTGCTGGAAGCCACTTCTTCATCATGCCACGCATGAACTCCTTACCTTCCAGATCCATGTCTTCGGCCTTGACCTTCACGTTAAGCCTCTCCAGAAGACTTCTCGTCTGCTCCTTCTCTCCAGCCTTTGCCAAAGACAGAACCTGGTGACAAAATGACAAATGTGTTAACAGTGAAAGTTCGGAGTCCTTGAGTCAATCTAAAAGCATGCTCTTACATGGATGACTGACAGACTGAGTGAGTTGCCGCTTCAATATTCCAGCAGTCTTAGATCGAAATATGACCATAAAACGCCGATTCCGTAGGTCTATAAACAAACATAATCTTACGTGGTATATCGAGTTTGACCCATACCAGAATTCGTGTTTGTCAAAACAAATCAGCTGTTCAATCACTTTGATTGAATACTATTTGCGTCAATGTAGGATATTTTACAAACCTTGAACAAAGGTTCCACCACGAACTTGTTAAAACCCCTCTCTCCATTCTCTCCCTTTTCGGAGCGCCACCTCTTGGTCGTTGGGTCGTAGAAGTTGTCTCCCCACAGGCGGGACATCATCTTCTCCTCCTTCACACCGAACTTCTTGGCGTACATCCGGGCGAACTGCCGCAGGTTGAACCCCCAGCCCTGCAGGCCGGAGCCCATGGAGACGTTACCTTTGGCTGGACTCAACTGTTGGGCAAGGAAGTGTGAACATAAGAACCTGGGTCCCAATCCACAAACCGTTCTTAGCGCTACGATAAGCCTATGATAAACTACAGAATTACGACAGGTCTTAACGTTACGAACACTTTACCCACAAAACGGTCGTAGCGCTACGACATTCGTAAGCCTATGATAAACTACAGAGTTACGACAGGTCGTAACGTTGCGAACGCTTTGTGGATCAGGACCCTGGGTTGGAAATCATTTAGGATAACAAATCTGGCTTGAAGCAAGAAATGTGTCAGGACGATTTAGCGATGGTCAGTTCTTTGTGGACATTCACAAACCGGCTGAATACATCTCAATCGAACGTGTCCTATTATCAAGACGAAGTCACGAAAGTTCCTAGTTTGATGGCCATGAAAACACTGGCCTGGATCACAAGCTGATATAAAGCGGGTATATATGACTATATATGTTCAAATCACAGTATATTATTCTGGAAAGTGTTTGTTTGAATTATTGTTTTATGTCAGCAGGAAAAGAGACCTCGTTAATCTGGATAGTAAAAATCCTGCGGTTCAACAAATGTCCGGAAAAACGAGTATGTGCCTAATTGTGACCCTTTCATTGTATGTGTAGTATATGTCCCCAACATTTGTTGTTAGAAAGTAAAATTACAATATGTTGGTAAAATTAATAATGATTTTTATAATTCAGAGTTTTAATTTAATAATTAGTCCATTTATATTGCGCTAATCCACACCGAGAGCATGCTCATAGAGCAGGATTATTATTACCCCGGATAACCCAAGCTGCCTGTGAGGCGATGGGAGGTTCATAGTCACATGACTTATCCCACTGGGTACCCATTTTCTGCTGGGTGAACAGAGGCAATTTTGAACAAATTCACTTGCCTAAGGTGAGAGCACATGTATCACATGCTTCGATGTGGGGCAGGACTGAAGTCCTAGAAACTCTCATGAGTCAAGCTGCCAAACACGGTCACCCCTCCAAGAAAACTCTCCGCGCTCAACGTTGCTTAACTTCAACGGATTTGCGACCTGAGCTCTATGCAGAGGACCACTAGCCACCACATAATAGTCGATTCTAGCAAATATTGATGACCGTATTCTGACTACAGATTATACCGAAGTAAGTGATCCCTTACCGTCATGTCGCCCATGATGGACATGGAGTCTTCGTACGTTGCAAGGATGACGTTCACATCCTCAACAATCTTCCTGAGCGTCTGGTACAGTTCTTCCGGTGCCAGCTGCGTCTCGAAGAACGCCCGGTCCAGCTTGTTCATCATTAACACCGGCTTGATCCTCTCCACCAACGCCTGTCTCAGGACAGTCTCGGTCTGGACACACACACCTAGAGAAGAGGTGACAGGGGTCATCTTCTGGCTATTTCTCAATACATACTAGGGCGGCGGGGTAGTCTAGTGGTTAAAGCGTTCACTCGTCACGCCGAAGACCGGGTTCGATTGACCACATGGGTACAATGTGTGAAGCCCATTTCTGGTGTCCCCGCCGTACTCACTCACTCTTTATGGAGGTCAGGGTGCCGTTGTACAAAGCAACCTTTGCGAAGCGCCAGTCGTACGTCTGTGTTATGGTATGGGAGCTACGATCACCTTTGCGCTAAGATCGCCGTGATATTGCTGGAATACTGCTAAAAGCGGCGTAAAAACAAACTCACTCACTCAATACATCCTACTCAAAGTTTCACAGGAACACCCAGGCATTTAGACCTACTTTTCACGTTGATATATTTAGTTCTGTTTGATGCTACAGGTGGCAATTTCCCAGCATCCACGGCGGCCTAACAATAAACGAGTCTTCACTATACAAACCAGTGGTTAATGTCATGAGCGTCACGCGCCGTTGTGCTTCGATGACGTATGTTCAACAAATCCTAACTACCAGATGTATTTCAATCGCCTCTAACGAAAGGCATAATTAACATACTGAGGACCACAAAGATCTGGTAATTTTGCTATTTTTCTAGTTTTCGAATTATATGAAAACCAGAATATTACTGTCAAACATGTAATATCGAAGTAACCTCTATCCACGTGGACATGTAAAGAATAGATGTTAAATCGTGGCTTGGATGTGTGATAATAAACAAAATAATATAAAAAACCCTCTTGAACCCTAAAGAGACTGTACTTGATACATACATTTTGGGGAGGATATGAATGACCCTAGTTCAGGAATGTAGAAATATGGCATGATAAATATCTCCAAACCGTCTGGGGAGAGACTGCTTACCACTGATGCAGTCAACAACGACCATTGCGCCGTCGGTGATTCGGAGCGCTGCCGTCACTTCAGATGAGAAGTCCACGTGACCAGGGGAGTCGATGAGGTTGACAACAAACAAGTTGTCGCCGTCAGCGTTGACACCCGGCACATGCGACATTGTGTCCACGTCGACGTCATAGAACAGGGAAATGGCGCTATGGAATATACAAATAAAGATTATAAACATTTATAATACTTTTTCGAAAAGCTCGTTCACCATTACATTATAGCGGGCGCTTTATAACTGCTGTGTTGCAGCACGACATAGAATGGACTTAAATGAATAAATGAACGAACGAACGAGAAAACGAATAATAAATAAATAAATAGTTTGAAAATGTGAAAAATTTTTTTTTTAAAAGATGAATAAATTTCAATAAATAATGACATATCGTGAGTTGTTCTCCGACGACCTTGCAGACAACACAATAACATAATAACAGGTTTCTGATGATGAAATGATAAGCTCTAAAACGTCTCTCAAAGAATACCTACGTTGATTTGATGGTGATGCCTTTTTCCTGTTCATCAGCCCGTGTATCTGTCGCATGTTTCTCCCCTGCCTGGGAGCCTGAGATCACCCCTGCACGTGCCAGCAGGGAGTCGGTCAGGGTCGTCTTGCCGTGGTCGACGTGGGCGATGACGGAGATGTTACGGATGTTGTCTCTCCGCTCCATCACTTGCATCTTCTGCTCGGTTGTCAGGATCACCTGATATAGAAAAGAAAACGGATGAATATTTCGAATCTTGTCGGTATTTATAATCCATCTTAACTTCAAAATGGAGAACTGTTTCAGTCTTTATGAATAAAACAACATGCATTCGCTGTTTGCGGAGTCTCAAACATATGCAAAGCTGGAGCAATAAGGACAATGAAGCGAAATAACATATGAACCGAGATATGATTTTCTCTCACTTAAATGCCATCGAAACAAAATCTTAATTAAATATTTTGCTCAAAAGGACGTTAAAACAGCCTAAAGAAAGGTATGTAAAATATATCCTAGCGAAAAGAATAATATGAGTTAACATTGTGGCGGGAACAGAATACGCGGAGGTAGGGTGCGGTGTGTTGCTCGTGACTGAGGAGGGCTTCGCAAATACAAGTGAAGAGTCATGATAACATTTATAAAATGTGAGGAGAATGCATGGTTTGTAAGCTAGATCTGTTTACACCCCATACCCATTAACTAGATTGTTTAAACTGGACATGACAATAGCAGTAGGTCAAAATCGCCTATATTTTGAGACGGACATTTGCTATAACGGTCAAACACAAAAAGATCAGTACAGCAAATATTTAAAATCCAATCGATATAAACCATAGAAAGCCTGTGGGACAATGTTTCAAACAACGTTGATTTAAAATGCAAACAAACAAATGCGAATTTCTTTTTTGAGGCTAACCATGGCCCCGTGCGTCTCCAATATTCCGAATTCCTCTCAGTAAAGCCTACTTCAATCAGACTTAAGAACTTAGGTCAATATTCAGGTGGATAAAATATCAATTTTTTTCATCATGCCCACTGAAACATAGCACGACCGTCATTCAGCTGAAACATTAGCTAGTGTGTGAGTGAGTTTAGTTTTACGCCGCACTCAGCAATATTCCATCTATATGGCGGCAGTCTGTAAATAATCGAGTCTGGACATGACAACCCAGTGATCAACAACATGAGCATAGATCTGCGCAATTGGGAACCGATGACATGTGTCAACCGAGTCAGTGAGCCTCACCGCCCGATCCCGTTAGTCGCCTCTTCCGACAAGCATGGATTACTGAAGATCAATATTCTAACCCGGACCTTCACGGGTAGGCTGTCATTATAAATTATTTATGTCAACATAACTGTCATAAAATATGAGATAAGTTAACTGACACCTGAATTAGACAGACAACAACCGCATTTCAATTACTGATACCAGTAGCTACTAAAACAAAGGCGTAGCTAGTTGAATGTATTTCGCATGTCTTAAATCAACGTATAATTGTTCATGTGTTGGTTAACTTCTATCAAAACACGATGCCAACTGCATTACCATTGTTAGAAATAGTAAATAATAACAATAATAATTTTATTCATTTGTAGGTCGCTAATTTCCAACGTAGCACTGCTCAGAAGCGCTGAATTACTTCCCCGAATAACCCAACCTGCCCGTGAGGCATATCCCACAGGTAACATAAAAAAATATGAAATGAAATGCCCAACTATTTTTTTATATCTCTTGATTTTTACTTCATATCACAAATAAATATTGATACAAAGAAAAACAACAACACACCAAATACAAATAAACATAACACCCCCAAACAAACTACGTAACAGGCATGTACCGAAAATGATTTTTTCACCAAAGAGTGGTATATTAGTTTTCCCATAAAGATTTCAACATTGGACACACTTCATGTGAACGCATACAACGCTAAAACATACATACTCAAAATTAATAAAAATAGAGAATCAAATATAAAATCACTCTGATATAATCAATTTAACGAAAAATAGTACTCACCATGTTTATGGTGTTTTTCGTCCCGAAGTGCCTGCGGATTTGTAAGAATTAAACTCGAGCGCTTTGCGCCTGTCTGTTAAAGATCACATCTCTAATGACGACCCAACGCAGGCTCGAGCTTTATATACCGCCTGGCTAGCGGATTGCGAAATTCACTTTTCCAGGCGAGCGTATTTCGCAATGTCAGTCTACTGGCAAACGGAGTACTTATTAATAGCAACATACGTAGTTATACAAGCAGTCTGGAACATTCCTGAAACGAAGTATAGACAAGTCGGGTCACGGTATCTGAGGTACATTCTGTTGTACACAGAAAATATAAGGATGATTACAAGTGTTTGTCTGTAAAGATTCAATAATTAGTCGCTGTGGTACAATCTCATTGATTTCAACATATTATCTATTGATCAGCCACTAGGTTGGAAATGGTTAAACAAGCAACCGATCAGCAATCAATGACCTGAATATTGTTTTACGACAAAGTTGTTGAATGCAGGTTCACTAGCATTTATACAGAACCACTGAAAGAAATGAGGTCTGTAAGTCAAGCGTATCTTCATTATGCGGCAATTTTACAAATGCCATTACAAGATTTGGCTTGTGCATATTCCACAGAAAATATTCAAATAATATTTCGAGAAGTAATATCTTGTAAACATAATAAATGTCACTTCGGGGGAACGTATTTAGATTTCAGAATTTTATTTTGATTAACAATGAATTTTCACCTGATGATACAATATCACAGGCAGTCGGTGTCGGTACATGTCAGCGAAAGGATATACAAGTATGTGCAGTATCTTGTATGACTTGTGGTTAAACCTTTCTCGTTATTCTCATTATTGCCACGTTTTTACCTTGGCACAAATAGCCCCGAGCTTCTTTTCTTTATTGTAGCAAGACACGTATTTTCGCTACTGGTGATTGATAAACAATATAATTACCAAGCTCAATTGTGCTAACAATAGTGAATGCAAACTAATTTTAAACCTAGTGGATCGAGTTTTGGGGCATATGTCTTTAGATTTACGCAGTAATGGAAACATTAAAAAATCGTGACAGATGTGATAATATATGAAAAATTCAAAAAGCACAAATAGAATGTACTGAGAAAGGTAAACTCTAAAACAGACTATAGATTGCAGGGTATTGCGAAATCGCGGTTTGACTGGTGTACGGTCTTACAAGAGCATTTAAGCTCCACACAGCGATAGTTCGTTACCCTTGCTTAATGTATTGAGGGCGTATCGGGGATGTCAAGCAATGATTGGAGATTGTGATGGATGTAGCGTATAAGCAGGTGCGCATATGACCAATATAACCAGGTGAAATAGACCGGCCACGTCAAAAACTGGTCATCGCCATTGAAATGCGCATGTAGACAGTAGGACAATAGACAGGAACCAAGTCTGTGGAATGGCAGAGTTAGAGTTGTATCCCTTGGCGTAAAATGGAGACTTGACAACAAGTAAACAACCAAGGACGTATATACGTCTTTGTAAACAACCTACGAAAGTTTGAATAAAGGGACTTGATTGACAAAATGGTTTGAAAATTTAGAGTTATTTCCTTTAAACTATTTATGACTATATATGTTATGTAACTGACACTCGCATAATCATCGGTTCCTATCAATGTTGAAAACACGTTCTATTTCCAAGTCACAGTTCCAAACATTATTATTATGGCTTTCCACCTGATAAACGAGTGAAATTATCTACCCAAATTAAAAAAAACCTCAACAACCCCAAAACCTTAACAAACCCAAAATACTTTTCAATCTAAATCCGAAATCTTCATGAGCTATTGGAATAGCCAGCTTGTGCAAGTCCCTTTGTGACTAAAATATGTGGTGCAATCAAGGGGTATGGCTAGTCCACTAGCCTGGTGAATTAATGTGCAGCATAATGATGACTTGTCAGATTTTTTTTATCTCTCTGCTTGGACCTCTCTTTGACCTCTCTTGCCTACCAGATAGTGACTTTTAGTGGTTTACAAAAAACTTAATTGAAGAATTCAAGTAGGTTTACTGGGGGACTGTTTATCATGCAGGGTATAATGTTGCCAGTTTATAACCAGGCATAAACTGTTTGACTTAGTGATCTTATATATATTTCAACCCCAGTGTATTTGAAAGGTTATGCCCCTTCTTTGGGGATTCCAGGGTATACTTGGTCCCCATCTACATATGGAGGTGGTAAAAGTGAATGAGTATGGTTTTCCACAACTTTTACCTTTATTAATGTAGTATTACAGATGGGGATACAATTAAGTAGGCTTCACACACTCTCCAAGTGGGGAATCTGACACAGTCTTTCGGTGTTATGATGATTTATCCATTAGACTACCTGGCCACCCTGCTTGTTGTAAGATGTGACAAAATGTATCGGGAGGAAGATTGGTGACATGGTTGATTGTGTGTCATTTTATCACAGTGACTAAACGTACAATGCCATTTAGCAAGTGGTCAAATGTAGCTCATGCTATATTTGGGATTACACTCTTTCAGTAAAGTACAGATTGTAGTATTTTGAGGGGAGTGAGTCTCATCAGGGATTTGAACCCACACACTCAGAGTCAGGCACCTAATTGTCAGCACACAACGTTCGCCGTCTAACCCACTCAACCAGTGCAGCTTGCACCAAAATGAAGTATGACAACTGGTAGTCTAGTTCATTGACTTTGTGTATCCCTCTGATAAGTGTGAGTGTGTTCTTTTTTTGAGAAAGTGTAATCCCAACTATGACGTGTTACATTTTATCACAATGTTGGATCGTTGATCTCATGATCAAACACTGGATTGTCTGGTCCAAGTGTTATGGTTCACAGGCTGGCATTATATACCTGAAATATTGCCGAGTACAATGTCATGTTTTTGTTTGTTTGTTTTTTAATGCCACACTCAGCAATGTTCCAGCTATGTAAATAATCAAGTCTGGACCAGACAATCCAGTTCTGATATCATTAGAATAGATCTGTGCCAATTAGCCTGACCACCTGATCCCATTAGTCTCCTCTTACAACAAGCACAGGTTGTTGAAGACCAATTCTAACCAGATCTTCACAGGTCCCCCCATTATGTACCTGAGATGAGTACAGAGTGTTAAGTCAAAAACAAGATTACAACAATGTCTCACAAAAAGATCTGTGACATGTTGCTGTTTGTGTTTACAGACTAATCTAGTGTTGACATATTGCAGGGGAATGCCAGTTCTGCATTAACAGAGGCCCAGCAACGAGAGCTGACACAGATAACACCATGTAAGTTTCAGGGTAACAATGAGTTCCACTGAATGCTGATTTGAACAGTAGCAAATTTTATCACAGTATGTCAGTTTGATTGGAAAGAAAGCCCCAAAGGACTGTTTCACAAAGCTATGAAGCGCTACGACAGTCGCAAGTCTATGTTAATGTATGGGAGTTGCGATCACCTTAGCACTACGATTGCCCCTGTGTGGGGCCCATTTCACAACGCTGTCGAGCGCTATGGCAGTCGGAAGTCTATGTTAAGTGTATGGGAGTTACGATCCCCTTAGCGCTACGATTGCTTTGTGAAATGGGACCCAGGGCTAGCCCTGAGGTGATTGTAACTCCCACACATTATTATTGGCTTACGACACTCATGGTGCTGAGACCGCTTTCTGGAACAGGGCCCAGGTCTTAAATCAATGAATACTGTGGCAAAACCAGTGCACACAGAAACCACTAATCCATGGCCTTGTAGGTAGGGGGTAGCGGGGTAGCCTAGTGGTTAAAGTGTTCGCTGGTTCACACGAAGACCCGGGCTCGATTCCCCACATGGGCTCAATGTGTGAAGCCCATTTCTGGTTTCCCCACCGTGATATTGCTGGAATATTGCTAAAAGTGGCGAAAACTAAAACTCAGTCAGTCAGACTCATCCATGGTCTTGTAGGTAGTTACTATATTTTTACCATTTATTTGGCAAGGACCATAATATTGGCACTACCATATTTTCTTTTGTATAGTGCACACCTTTTTTCTAAAACACATCTGTGTGGATTGGTGCGAATTATCTCAAATTTCCAATTTTTGTAAATCATGTGTGTTAATTTGCTCATGGGATATGATGAAGTATATTTGTCTGCACGTCCTGCTCAAAGAGGGATGGAGGGAGGTGCCCAGCATACATCATACGTACTCAAGTAAATACATGTATGGTTGTACAAATGGACACACATGCCCCACACATGTACACAGGCACTCACACATGCCAAACACATGTACACAGACACTCACACATGCTCCACACATGTACACAGGCACTCACACATGCTTCACACATGTACACAAGCACTCCCACAACCAGCCCAACCCAACCCAACCCAACCCAATGCTGTAATTGATAATCCAGCTTTGAGAGAATCATTTAATGAAACTATAACTGTTTCAGTCAAACCACGGGACCTGGAGCGTCTGTTGAAGCGCTATTCCAACTATGATCCTTCAGAGAGAGGCGTTCGTGGCATCACATTTGATGTATGCATCACGATTCCTGAGTTTTGTGGAAACAAGTTTGCCCCTCAGGTGATTGCAAGTTACCAGGATGCCAACTCCAAGAAAATCTACCCCAAGCAGTTCCTGTTAATCTGTGCCATACTCAGCTCAAAGACATCTCCTCAGAAAAAGAAAGAGTGTAAGATTACGATTGTTGTTGTATGTTTGGTGGACAGTTTGTGGTAGTATCATAACAATTTGAGCCAAGGATATATTGAACTGAAATATTGTCGTGAAGATTCATTTCCCTGGAACTCATACACTTTTACCTGTAAAGATCCGGGATAGAATTGGTCTTCAGTAACCCATGCTTGTCGTAAGAGGCGACTAACGGGATCGGGTGGTCAGACTCGCTGACTTGGTTGACACATGTCATCGTATCCTAACTGCGCAGTATGATGCTCATGCTGTTGATCACTGGATTGTCTGGTCCAGTCTTGATTATTTACACACTGCCGCCATATCGCTGGAATATGGCTGAGTGCAGTGTTAGAAAAACAACCAATCACTCCTGGACTCTTTAATTCTATCTCTTAACAAATCAGTTTCAGGTCATGTTCTATTCTATCAACCAGCCCTTCACAGCAGCAACCAGTTCTTTGGCCTTGTAAAATCTCTGCCCCTATAACAGGGGCCGTAGGAAATGTTTCTCTTTTTTTTCCATTGCCATTCTGCAGTTCCCTGGAATGAAAAATATGTGTTTCTGTGTTTTCAGATCTGTTCGATATGTTTGATGTTTACAAGACGAACGTGTTCACTCATGATGAAATGTTCCGCATCTACAAGACCCTCCTAGGATCTGCTGTGAGCGACAACGTCATCCTTGACCTTACATTCCGGGCACTAAGGCATCCCGACCTTGCAAATGAAGGAGAGATAAGAAAGGAAGAATTCATCAAAGTGAGTTGCAAATCATATCTTTCAGTAAGAGAAAGAGACATATACTGATGGTAAGAAGTTATGCAACAGTGTAATTGAGACATGAACACAACATAGATTTCAGTGATCCATGCTGACACTAGTGGCCTAGTGGTCTGATGTATAACAAGCTGAATAGAGTTGTGTCCCTTTGTGATGCCATGATGCGCTATATAATCAGGCTGTTTGTATAATTGTGGACTGAATCTGTAATTCATCAGATAATAATGTTGGTTGGAAAAAAGACAGTTCTGCAGTAGTTTTGTAGAAATGTTGCACAACTATTGTGGAATACGGTCACAGATCTATACCAGTATTGTTTTGTAATTGTTACGGTGTCCGAGACATTGGAACCGTTATATAATGTGGTTGAATTTCCTATACAGTATAAATGTTTAGAATATAACTTACTCTTCTGTCACTTATTTGCTATGTATTTAACAGCCGTAAGCAGATCCCTGTATTCACTGGCTTTACTAAAACTATCTCCTTGAAGTGCTATGTCTTCTGTTGGTCCTCCCACTCAAGCTTGGTGGGTGTCATTATCATTATAAAATGTTTGTTGATGATATAACATGGTCATGTGACCATAATCAAAGATTTGATCAACTTTGAGTTAGCTGCACAGGGTGTAGATTTTCTATGTGATCTTGGCCCTAATTTTTTTTAAGTTATCATGAGGAAATCATAGACTGTTGAAGAGCATTTTCGAAACTATCATAGCCCTAAAATATTGTTAGATTGTTGTAAATCTAAGATAGCCTCAGTCATACCAGTGGTAAGTCCAGATTAAGTTTGAAACGGGCTCACTGAGAGATAGCAGGCTCAGGTTTTCCCTTAGCTGTGTTGGGGATAGGCAAGGTCAGGTTTTACCCTTAGCTGAGTTGGGGATAGGCAAGGTCAGGTTTTACCCTTAGCTGAGTTGGGGATAGGCAAGGTCAGGTTTTACCCTATGCTGAGTTGGGGATAGGCAAGGTCAGGTTTTACCCTATGCTGAGTTGGGGATAGGCAAGGTCAGGTTTTACCCTATGCTGAGTTGGGGATAGGCAAGGTCAGGTTTTACCCTATGCTGAGTTGGGGATAGGCAAGGTCAGGTTTTACCCTTAGCTGAGTTGGGGATAGGCAAGGTCAGGTTTTACCCTTAGCTAAGTTGGGGATAGGCAAGGTCCTTCAGGGCATACTGAACTCAGACCTGGCACATTGTTGTATATTGTTGTAGTCAGTCTATACATGGATCTTTACTGTTGTGTTTCTTTTTTCTCTGTATCCATTTAAGTGTTCTCCATAATTATTATTTAATATACAGAGTGGTTGATAATGCATAAACATCATATTTTATTATAGAACTATCATATTGACACTGATTGGCTAATCAGAATCTGATCAAATCTTCTATGGATTGGTATTGTATATAAGTAAAGATCTCAGGTCAATAATTATTTCATTATTCTATATGAATAATTTTGTCATCGTCAGTAAAATGTAAATGCTTGATTTCGCTGTTATGAGTATGCATTATTGTTTCTGCTAATTCACTCTTACATTGTTTATGTGTTTTTCAGATGATAATCCATATTTCCTCATCACTTGTAAAATATTGTCTGTTTATAACATGCTTTCTTCAGATGATTCCGGACAATGAAATCATGCAGAGGATGACCTTGGATCTCTAGATTCCATGAGAAACATCACTGAGACCTTGAACGTTGGAGCAAAGTCAACTTCAGCATCCTGCTCAATGTTCAGCTTCATCTGATCTCTCTACTGTGCTGGAAGATGAGCCTTGAGGCTGTGAGCCGAACGGAACTTTCCACTTTTAGTCCCACTCATGAGCATTGTGATATGCTGATAAACTAAGGATTGGAGGGGAAATTTAAGATTCAAACCCAGCATTGGTGGATCCTAGTATGGTAAAGGGACACAACTCTGTAATGCAAATTACATGGCCTTGGTCAACTGGGGCACCCACATGAAATGCCTATGGAGACTATAGTCCTTAAAGTGATTATGGTTCTTCACAGCATTAAGGCTGGTTCATCATGTGATGAAGAACTGTTGACCTGTTGAATTGTTGAATTGTCAATCATAGAAGTGTTAGCTGTGTCCAGTCCAGTTTCTGAATTTGGTGGAACAAGTGCTGTCGCTTGAGGAAGAGCACAAACTTGTCTATCACTACCTTTAATGTGGATATTTATGCTCAAAGAACTGCATTATTGCTTAAGTTTGTGGATCAGTTGATATTTTGTTATCAGCTACTCACAAGTATGCTATCTCAGCTGCCAGTGAGGTGTTAGAAAGGTTAAAAGTCATGTTAGTGTCTCATCCTACTGGGTACCCAGTTGCTGCAGGTTGAACAGAACATACATTGATGTCCAAGATATTTTATGGATTAAACTTCTTTTAATTTCTCTCACAACGTTTGAGACCATTCCAGGTCCCTTCATCAGGTGAACTGGCAGTTAGGACTATGGCGTCGTCACTATGGCGTCATTACTGAGTTATGGCGTCACAATGCAAGTGACATCACAGTACACTAGGGAGAGTACTGTATAAGTGAGTTAGTTACATAATGATGAAATTCATGCTAAATAATAGAGTAGAAAGTTGAATTGCTAATTACACAAAGGTTACTTGATAGCAGGCTTTCCAAAACAACCAGCATCCAAGGATAAAGTTTACAATGGAGACTGAGCAGAACCGGCAACTTCCTTTCCTAGATGTTGCCCTCCAATCTACAGACAAAGGTCTCGTCACTTCTGTGTACAGGAAGCCAACTCACCACGGATCAGTATATCAATTACAACTCCTGTCACCACCACCCACAGATCAAACAAGCAATTATTGCTACTCTCACTAGAAGAGCCAAGTCGATCTGTCACCCAGATAATTTAAACAGTGAAATTGATTACCCTCAAGAGAACCTTTACCGTCCTCAATGGCTACCCAGCCCGTCTTGTCTCCAGGACTATCACCAAAAGCGCTTGAAGTATCAGAACCGCCTCAAGCCTGAACCATCCCCGATCAGAATCACAATACCCTACGTGGGACCAGTCAGTCATCAAATAGCCCGACTAATCAAGAGCAAAGCGGGCTTTGATATAACTTTCTCTAGCGGTACAGCAATTAAGACACTCCTCGGGCAAATGGTAGAGGATCTTGCAATGGAAGCCCCAACCCTAGAGGATGTGTATACCAAATACCATGCAGCTGTGGCGATCAATATATTGGCGAGACTCTCAGGCCCATTAACACCCGGGTTGCTGAACACAAGTCATCAGTATGCAAACAAAATGATAAGTCAGCTATATCGAGCACACAAGGCAAATAACCCAAGTCATGTAATCATGTGGAATGATATTAGGGTGATTTCGAAAATAACAATGACTGGCGTCGGAGAAAACTACAGGAAGCTGTCGAGATAAGGAGACATAAACCAGCAATTAATCGTGATCAGGGTGTATACCTGCCAAGTGCATGGGACCTCTTGATTAACTTTTGATGAACTTTTTTGATGAACTTTAGATACAAGAAAAAACGAGTCTACTATTCTTTTTTTGGAAAGCCTGCTATCAAGTAACCTTTGTGTAATTAGCAGTTGTTGTGTATTGACAATTCAACTTTCTACTCTATTATTTAGCAAGAATTTCATCATTATGTAACTAACTCACTTATACAGTACTCTCCCTAGTGTACTGTGATGTCACTTGCATTGTGACGTCATAACTCAGTAATGACGTCATAGTGACGACGTCATAGTCCTAACTGCCAGTTCACCTGATGAAGGGACCTGGAATGGTCTCGAAACGTTGTGAGAGAAATTAAAAAGAAGTTTAATCCATAAAATATCTTGGACATCACTGTACAACTTCTAAATGCCACTGAAAGACATCAACAGAACATACATTGACCGACATCCTCAGTTATCATAGCAGTGAGTGATAGTGAATTGGGTTTTCCGCTGCGTTTAGCAATATTCCAGCAATATCACGGTGGGGAAACCAGAAATGGGCTTCACACATTGTACCCATGTGGGGAATCGAACCCAGGTCTTTGAATGACGAGTGAATGCTTTATCCACTGGGCTACCCCATGGCCCCACTTCTCATATCAGTGTGAGGAACTTCTACTGTGGCATCATTTTGGAAGAGGAGTCACTGTTTCTCCTGTCTCTACTTTATCTGAAAATTTCTCTTGCTAGCAGGAGTAATTTAACAGAATGACAACTGTTAGCACTGTTCCATTCAGACTTGAAATAAAGCTATGCTAAAGTCTGCTTGGCTCAAAAGCGGACCAATGAATTGCAATCTAACTCGAAAACTAATAAACATATAATACTCAATGAAACGCTGATCATAATCAAAACATCAGACCAACTCTGTGATTTGTTTGCAGAATTTATGTCATAAAATTAAAAAAGTTGTTTAACAATCTATCATTAAAATTTTGACACTGTTCACTATTTGTTACGAGGGAGGAGTGCAGAGAAAGGGACAGCCAGGTGTACGAGAAGCATGTGCACAAGTGCCAACAAAGTTATTGATTCATTAACGTGAGCTGTGCCGTCTAAATCCTTTCTCACACACCTGGCTGTCCCTTTCTCTGCACTCCTCCCTTGAAGGAAATAGTGAACTGTGACAATATTTTAATGATAGTTTGTTAAACAACTTTTCTATTTTTAGGACATAAATTCTGAAAAAACCTCACTGAGTAGGTCTGATGTTTTGATTATGATCAGTGTTTCATTGAGTATTTTATGTTTATTAGTTTTCGAGTTAGATTGCAATTCATCGGTCCGCTTTTGAGCCAAACGGACTATAGCTTTGAGGAGTAGGGTATTTATGTACTGGATCAGTATTATGTCAGAATTTGATGTCTATTACATGCTACATCATGTTGAAATGTGTTGCAGCATGTTGATTAATTTGAAGCATGTTGCAGCTCATGGAAGTATGTTGAAGCATGTTGCAGCTCATGGAAGTATGTTGAAGCATGTTGCAGCTCATGGAAGTATGTTGAAGCATGTTGCAGCTCATGGAAGTATGTTGAAGCGTGTTGTAGCTCATGGAAGTATGTTGTAGCTCATGGAAGTATGTTGAAGCATGTTGTAGCTCATGGAAGTATGTTGAAGCATGTTGTAGCTCATGGAAGTATGTTGAAGCATGTTGTAGCTCATGGAAGTATGTTGAAGCATGTTGTAGCTCATGGAAGTAGGTTGAAGCATGTTGCAGCTCATGGAAGTATGTTGAAGCATGTTGCAGCTCATGGAAGTATGTTGAAGCATGTTGCAGTGATACGCAGCATGTTATAGCATGTTGAAGTAATATGCAGCATGATAATTTATGTTGAAGTGACATGCAGAATGATAAACTATGTTGAAGTGACATGCAGCATGATAAACTATGTTGAAGTGACATGCAGCATGATAAACTATGTTGAAGTGACATGCAAAGTGACATGCAGCATGATAAACTATGTTGAAGTGACATGCAGCATGATAAATAATGTTAAAGCATGTTGAAGCATGTTATGGATGATGAATTAAACCTTGAGTGAATGTGCATTGTGGCATGCAGAACGAGTATACACAAACTATTTTATTAATATAAAACATGAAAACCCCCAGGATGTTTTATGTTTTTATTCAATATATATCTAGTATAACTGATGTATAACTCTGAATCAAGTTGTGGTGTAACAGGAACTAAAAAAGAAAACCTGATTCCTAACTACACTTACCTCAGGAATAACATGGACTCTCTAACACTGCTAAAGACTCTAGGATGTTGTCACAAAATGAATTTCATGATTGTGTCCCGTGGTAAATGAAAACACTGATATGATAAATCAAACAACAGTAGTATGTGAAAACAGTGTTCTCTTACCAATATACTTCAGCCACTTGATATATATACTGTAGCAATATTTTAGTCTAATAACATTTGCCCAAATGGAAAGTAGATCTTTGATATTTCCTACTATAGTAAAACTGATCTGGGTCAATCTTGTAATGCAGCAGATCCTGGAATCAAAGGGAGGTAATTTGATACAAAGTGTGTTTTTGTCCACTAGAGCTACCCTGTTTCATATGTTGATTAGGATTTGATTGATTGACTTAGGTTTTACGCCGCTTTTAGCAATATTCCAGCAACATCACGGCGGAGGACACCAGAAATGGGCTTCACACATTTGGCTTTAACCACTAGGCTACCCTACCACCCTGATTAGGATTTGAACATTATGGTTCAAAATTATTTTCTGTCATACCACTGGGTTGGTTCACTGATGGTCTAGAGGTTCAATGTGCTCATCGCGATCCAGAGAGTTGTGTCCCCTGGCTCATCAGGATAAGCTTAAGGTTAAATCAGTGATCATGGGTTAAATGCAAGTTGTTGTGGCTGCACAATAACTATAGGTTCTTCAAGGCAACATACCTGACCTGTGTTAATTTCGGCTTTCATCAAATATTAATCCACGAACACACTTGATATTCTTCTCCAAAACACCAGAATTACATACAGACTAGGTTCATACAAAATGCCCATGACTTTTAGATCATATTAAACTGGCTGCATAAATAACATCACATGTCAGCATATGGCGGGATTACGAGGAGCACCACTAAGTTCAACATTATGCTTGCATGAACCACATGAAAATAACTCACAAAAAGGTATAATAAAATAATAATTAGACTTTCACCCCAAACTGTCTCACCTCTAAACATGCTGCCTCACAATCAATTATCCAAATACCTTCAGCTAAATAATAGCTACATCGGTGCCTTTCTTCCACTGATGAAATACACTTAATACATTGTCTATGACAATTTATTGTCTATATCATTGTCATAATATACTGAACAGCAAAAGAAACGCAAGTCTGGCTTTTGTTAAGTTTGTGAATAGAAGACAACCAAAATCATGTCCCATCATTTATTCTATAGACAATACTGTCAATTTAACAGCTGAAAGTTGCTGTTGACATTGAATTGCAATAAGTTCAAATTGATCACAGTCCGTCAAATGGAGATACCCCTGAACGCGAAAAGTGACAGTCTCTTTAGTCGCGTGTATGGCCACCTTGAGCTTGCACACAGGCCATGCAACGTGGCCTCATTGAGTTCATTAGTGTCTGAAAGGATGCCTGAGGCAATTGGTTCCGCTCAAACACCAATCTCTATTCCAATTGTGAGAGTGTGAGTGGCTGTCTACATGCACCAATCCTCCGTCCAATTTCGTCCAAGAATGTTTTCAATGGGAGCCATATACGGGGGAAGAGACGGCCATGGAAAAACGTTAATGTTGTTTTGAGCCAGATAATCCATCGACACCCCTGCTGTGGGAGGGCTGCAAATGTCAGTGGCATTGTTGGCATGTAAAAATTGGCCCCACATATGGCCTTTCGCAGTGGATTCCAGCAGCCCGAAGACGACGCCTAATTGCATCACTGGACACTGCTCCCCTTGACCCATGAACTAAGGCTGCTGTTACTGTTGGTGCTTGAGTTTGGTTCCTTAGATGAGTGACCCGGATGAACCGATCTTGCGCATGAGATGTCACTCGTTGCCGTCTGGTATGGGGACGATCAGCAGCAACCCCGGTTTGCTGATGACGTTGAGCAAGTCGTGTAATGGTGGCAAGATGACAGCCCAATTGTCTAGCTACAGCGGTTGCAGAGCTACCTCCGTGCAACTTTCCAATGGCCATTCCCCTCTGCTCAGTCGTTAGTCTAGGCATCGTTTGTGTGGCGTGTACATCTCCTAGTGTCAATACTGAACTGTTTTTTGACACAAACCTTTATAAAGGATACCTCAGAGTGAAATGCATGCTTTTCATCCAGAACCGTCGATGCACGTGCTAAAATGATGGTTTTGCTGCACTGTTGGTGTGTTTGTGCGAATGGTTCGTATGGACGTCAAATTGCATGACATCATCTCATCTAGGATCATTACGTCACTTTACCATGAACGTTCCATAAACATGAATGCTTACCTTCATGATATTTCATTTTTTCGAAACTTGCGTTTCTTTTGCTGTTCAGTATACTTTGTCTATTAGACAATTAGGTATTCATGAATAACATCCATTGACAAACAGTATACACTATATTAAAATAGTAACACATTAAACATTTTGGATGAAATGTGAAAATTAACTTATTTTGGCAAAACACCTTCATTTTTAACTTTCTGCATTAGCAGTAAAATTTACATGTGAGAAATGTTTTAACCCTTTCATAAACTGATTGACTTATATTTCTCTTCTTGATTGTTAAGTCCTCACATCAATCAATATAATGTTATTTCTAAATTCCGCAAATGGAAGAAAACAAAGGACTTTCTTACACATGAGGTCATCTATCAAAAAGATTGGTTTGAAGTCACATTGGACCATATTTGTAGCCTAACTAGCAGCAGTGAACTGAATTGCTGTGATATATACACACAATGTATACTTTTTGATTACACATCAATGAAACACTGAATGTAACTGGAGATAAGCCGAATTTTCTGGACCCAAAAAACATATCCGCTGAAAAGGGTTGGCCTATGTAAAGGTTACACTTTGATCAAAGTATTTTTCGTCAGAAACTATACCGTTCATTGATCAGGTGAATGAACAAGAGAACACGACTGTCAATGAAGATGTGAACTGTGATGAAACATCACCAGACGTGATTCACCATTTCAGTGGTACTTATTTTTGTGCCAGGCATTAGGGACGAGAGAGTGTGGTGTGTTTGTGTGTGTTTGTGTGTGTTTGTATTATATGCAAGGATTAAGGCTACCATGTGTACTTCAGGGCCGGATCCAGAGGAGGGGTGAGCACCCCCTCTCCGAAAATTTTTCCCTGAGGAGTATTTCCCCCTAACCTTTGGACTTCATGATTTATGTGCACCCCCCTTTCTTCAAAATCCTGGATCCAGCCCAGTACTTGTCCCCAAAAAACTAGCAAAATAGCAATCAGCTGTTCACACATTTTCTCTGTGTCCACCAGTGATATGCCAAAAACACAAATATATACTGAAAATACATGTAAGTATTTTAGTGGTCCAGTTTATATACTGGGCTTACTATTTTGATTTCAAGGGTTAAGATAGGATTAACTGTGAGATCGGCTTATCTACAGTCACTTTACATTATACCGCGGTGGTAATTCTCGCACACAAACATCACTTCACACAGTTATTGCTAAGGAATACTGCCGCACTGAGCAATGCATAGCTTGTATCTGCAAATGATATCACAATAATAATAATTGTAACACTAATAATAATATCTAGATTATATAACACATGGAAGTAACAAAACCCTCTGGCAGTACATGTCAATGATTAATAGTGCAATATATTTTTGTAATAAACGATTCCATTTTAAACTCTGACTCGATTTACTCCAAATATCTTTCAGTACACTACAGCAACTGTCCCATAATTGATCATCCAGGGTTTAACTTCTCCATTGTCATGACAGAAAATAAAGTAAAGAGCCCCAGATTGTTTTCATATGACTACAGACCTGTGAAGGTCCGGGTTAGAATTGGTCTTCAGTAACCCATGCTCTGGATCTGCCTAAAGGGTACAGTGTTGTAAGCGACCGTTCATACTTTTATGGCTAGGGGGTGATGATGATTTTTAGGGAACCCCCTCTCACTCATTCATGGCTTTTGGCCCTGTTCTGCAAAATGAACTTCACTCTAAGGACTTCCATACCTTGTATCCCCTAAAGTGATAGTGCTAAAAACAGCATAAAACCATACTCACTAACTGACTTATGGCTTCTGGCCCTGATATGTGACCTTCACTCTCAGGAGATAGTTACTCCGATACCTTAACATGACTTGTGAAAATCATGGCGCCAAGAGCCCTGGAATGCATCCCTTCAGGTAAGGGGATCTTAAATATTCAGTGACACATGCCTTCTCCAGATTATATATGATAAAGAAGTCTGAAGCTTCAATAAAGTTCAGATGGAATGTATTTTGGTAAAAAACCGTCAGGTCAAGTATTTAAGAACCAGTCATTACTACCAGAGCATTGGGAAAAGAATGGAATGGAATCAGGTTTTTGATGAACTATTGAACACACAAATACATCCCTCCCCTTACGCTTGCCATATTTTGAAGGACACTCCCCTTGTCATGTTTTTCCCTGAAAAGCGGCTGTGATATTTTTGGCTGACCCTTGCCTGATCCCATCCCCCCAAATAAATGACCAGTCCCTTATGTTATAATGCATTGACTAAAGCTTCTAGCAATCTGAATATTTGCACAATGTAACACTAATCTACACCTTTTGCTTACACCAAGAACTCAAGCTTATGGAGAATCTGAACACATCAGCAGTATGTCACATCAACAACAGTCCTCCTTCATCATCCAGTGTATATTTTCCCATTGTATTATGACAAATACCATGGACCCATCGGCTACCATAGCCTTGTTTCGCGTCATCTTATTCTGTTCCATTTTCTAATTGACCCAGGATTTCAGCTGCTTATTAGAGTAATCTGATTGGCTGGTTGATTTTAGCTTTGTTCACTTGGGCATGAAACAAATCTATTGGCACTGTGTTCTGATCCACAACGTGTTCGGAGTGCTACGGCATTCGTAAGTGTATGGTAATCTGTAGAGTTATGACTGGTCGTAACGTTACAAATGTGTTGTGGATCTGGTATCTAATTAGGGCAGGTATTTATACACTGGATAAGTGAGGCTGTGAACACAACACTGAAGCATGCTGAAGCACACCTGTTCAAACTGGGCTCTGTCTAGATGATCTGATTATTACGAGAACATAACTGGTGCTGAATGAGGTATTCTCAAAATGACTTAGTAAAGGTTGGAGCATCTTATGAACTCGTACAATTTTTTTTGTCTGAACTCATAAATCAAATCAGTGTTTCTTAAAGTAAATATAGGCCACACTCAATAACCAGTATCTGGTGGTTATCCTTGGCACTTTGAGGCCGGTTTTTCTTTAATTTCATTGTTCCAAGAAAAATACTGCATAACTCAATATAAATATGTAATCCAATATAACTTCCTGTCTCACAGATGAGCTGCAAAATGCTTGTATATGAGTTGAATGTACTGCTTTCCTTTGTGTAATGCACACACATTTCTTTGAAGTTGAAAAATTATCAATACTTCATTGACTTTGTACGAGATATGATTCACAACTTTGTTTTGAAAAAAGGTAGTAAGAAATATATTATTAACAACACTCTTAATATAATATTAAATACCTCTTTTGATACTGAGGCCAGACCAAATTAATTACTTGTTTCAATAAATCTGCAGGTAAAAGGTTTGTCCTTTTACAAAGAAATATCCAAACAGACTGTGTTTGTGCTTGAAGAAGGGGAGGTTACTCTAGATTTAATTCATTAGTGACTAATTCAAATGGAAGCTTCAGAATCATTGGTCCATACCAGATTGTGTCTTTCTTAAGACATTGCTGAAACAATATGTTGGTAAACACAAAATTATGAAAACTGAGCTGTTTTCACCATGGTTCTTGTTGCCTTTTTTTATCATTTCATCATGTTACTTTTGTGTAATGATTGTGAAAGGTACCTTAAACTTGTGAAAGAATATAATAGTCATGTCTGATGTCAAGTCATGCAAGCACATATCGACATTGTTCAAATAGAAAAACGTTCTTGTGTCTAAAGAAATACAAAATTGTCTTTCAAAGAAATTAAGCATGTCATAGACATTAGTTCTGTGCATAACAGCGTTTTATAAGAAAAAAGATTTCATAATTTTTCCTTTGAGATCATGCAGTAATTCCCTTTTTCCTAAACAGCTTGCTTCTTGATATTTCCCATAAAACAAACAATATATTTTGTTAATTCTTAAGCTCAAGTCAATCCGGGCCAATATACTATACATCCGTAAGAAACATGAAAAAATGCCCATGAAAACCTTTAAGACAATATGAAAGTGGTCTTATCTTTGTATAATATTTCTGATTTATCTATATATCTGTGATATCTGTTGATTAATATGAAAGTCTTGGGTAAATAGTCTTTTTATCTATCCAAATCACATTCTCACATAAATAACAGCTTTCAAACATCACAAATTTGTTCAATTTCTTTGTAAAGAATATACAAACAATGATAGCACAGTAGGAAGTGTCACTGTCTGGTGTTTGATCCTCCTATCTGGGGGTCATCATCACGAGAACAGTTCTGCGGTGTACAGTATCTCTGGATTTTCCAGATCATCTTTACTCTGCACCAGCCTCAGCTCCATCTGAGCTGGAGTTGGTTTCATATTCTCACCTGCAACCTCTGGAAGAAAAAGAAGTTCACAGTTAGATTCTACGATCATTTGTCACTGATGTCTTACATCCCAGAGTTTGGGTGTAGTACTTACACATCAGCATTGAGTGAGTGAGTGAGTTTTGGTTGGTTTGCTTTTAGCAATATTCCAGAAATATCATGGCAGGAGACACCAGAAATGGGCTTCACACATTGTACCCATGTGGGGAATCGAACCCGGCCTTCTGCGAGATGAGCGAACACCTTTTAACCACTTGGCTACCCCACCGCCCAATCAGCACTGAGAGAACCTGTGAAGTATATTGTAGATATACCATGTACCATGAGGTTATTTCTTTTCTGTGAAACATCTGGTTCCCACTTTGGGAATAAGCCTAGTATCAGTGCTAAGGTGCAAAATTTGGGCACAGTCTTGGGTAGTCTGTGGTGCCTACTCTGGGCACAGTCTTGGGTAGTCTGTGGTGCCTACTCTGGGCACAGTCTTGGGTAGTCTGTGGTGCCTACTCTGGGCACAGTCTTGGGTAGTCTGTGGTGCCTACTCTGGGCACAGTCTTGGGTAGTCTGTGGTGCCTACTCTGGGCACAGTCTTGGGTAGTCTGTGGTGCCTACTCTGGGCACAGTCTTGGGTAGTCTGTGGTGCCTACTCTGGGCACAGTCTTGGGTAGTCTGTGGTGCCTACTCTGGGCACAGTCTTGGGTAGTCTGTGGTGCCTACTCTGGTCACAGTCTTGGGTAGTCTGTGGTGCCTACTCTGGGCACAGTCTTGGGTAGTCTGTGGTGCCTACTCTGGGCACAGTCTTGGGTAGTCTGTGGTGCCTACTCTGGGCACAGTCTTGGGTAGTCTGTGGTGCCCTACTCTGGTCACAGTCTTGGGTAGTCTGTGGTGCCTACTCTGGGCACAGTCTTGGGTAGTCTGTGGTGCCTACTCTGGGCACAGTCTTGGGTAGTCTGTGGTGCCTACTCTGGGCACAGTCTTGGGTAGTCTGTGGTGCCTACTCTGGGTACAGTCTTGGGTAGTCTGTGGTGCCTACTCTGGGCACAGTCTTGGGTAGTCTGTGGTGCCTACTCTGGGCACAGTCTTGGGTAGTCTTTGGTTGTTTATTGTTAAACTCTGCACAACTCTAAACAATAATCCTGCTATATGAGGGGCGGTGGGATAGCTTAGTGGTTAAAGTGTTGTTCGCTCATCACCCCGAAGACCCAGGTTCGAATACCCACATGGGTACATTGTGTGAAGCTCATTTCTGGTGTCCCCCGCCATGATGTTGCTGGAATATTGCTAAAAGCGGCATAAAACCAAACTCACTCACTCACTCCTGCTACATGAAGGTGGTCTGTAAATAATCGAAGTCTGGACCAGACAATCCAATGACTGACAACATGGGCATTTATGGACATGATGCCAAGCATCATCCAAGTCAGCGAGCCTGACCATCCAATCCTGTTAGTTGCCTCTTACGACAAGCATGGGTTGCTGAAGACCAACTCCAACAGGTAGGGGGTTTGTGGTGCCTACTCTGAGCACAACTTAGTGTCACTGGTTGATGGTACCTACTTTTGGCATAGTCTAGTGTCCTCCTTATCACAGCCTGTACAGTAGATATCGTCTTCTCAAATGCAACCTGGAACAAATTCCTCCCCTTTCACAAACACTTCACATAAATCATCAGCACATGATGTAAAACAAACAGTATTCCTTTACATTTCGTTCAACCAATGAGAGTGTCATCATCAGACTGTGTTTTCTAATCATTAGCAAATCCAGAGATTTGCCTGGGTCTATCAACTTTTGAGTACTTGGGATTCTAGAGTAATAACTTTGGGGTGTACCTGGGAAGAAAATCGTGACTCAAGAATGATCCCTGTGACCTTGGCATTGGGTGGCGGACATGTTGCACTCTTTAAAAAAACTTAGTGTTGCCTGCCTGCTAATCGTGTCCGAAACTACATGGGAACCTTTTGCTATTGTAGGTGGACACTGGTCACTTACCTTGAGACTGTTGTCTTTCTGCATCCATACCATGAGTGACGCGGCAAACAGATCACCAGTTCCAACAAAGATGGCTGGCAACAGTGGTATTTCTATACGGTAGCATTCCTTAGCTCCATCTGTAGAGGGAACATCACAGGATTGCACATAATCCTTAATGACGATGATTGTTTGTTTGTTGTTTAACTCTGCACTCAGCAATATAGGTTCTGATAAATCTCCACTAGTACCCTGGATGCATCTACGGCTTGGCCCGATAATTGTATTACCTTTGCTGGCTTTTTATCCAATCAGGTGTCTACTCTGGGAAGTTGAGCACACCAATCACAAGGCTTCTATCATTACTCAATTCCACTTCTTTTATCTAACTGATTAATCTTGGCAACACAATTGTTGCAGATGTACCCTGAAAGAGGTAGAAGTTCTTGCATATATTTTTTTAAAGTTTCAGACCTGTCAATTTGTCTGTATGATTTTCCCCCTAAATCGGAGTTGTGCAGCGAGCAAACCTTTGCGCCATCTTTGTTGACAAAGCTCGGTTGTAAAAGCTTCTCTGACTGGCTACTGTGAGGAGGTGGAGGCAGCAAAGGGGTGATGGCAACAGGAAAATCTATTTTCAGCTGAAAAGCTAATATTGTGTCACCGTAACAGGAAAATTGATCAATTTGAAATCAAATCAGCTGATCAGCAAAAATTGCTATCCCTGGCAAAGGGAGGGTACCAATTATTGGACGCTTTGCATCCATTGAAGTGGAGATTTGAACATATACCCTGGAGGTTGTCGAGGAAGTATCTCGATATACATTATATCAGTGTATGAAATAAGCCAAACACCAAGCAGACATCAGGGCTGGTAACTTCATAATGTTACCAGCCAAATGGATTTAACCAGACCAGACAATCCAAAGATAATAATTCAGTTTTTACTTATAATGAGTGATGAACCTGAGACATGTATTTACTGTTTAACAGTCTCGTCACAACAGTCATTTTCAGAGAAATCCGACTCCGAGATGTAGTCAAAATCGAAAGGATAGAATATGTTATCCAAAAATTTTAACAGACCATTGGGCTGACAAACTGTAAATTAACACTGTCCGTCAGAAATCTAGCCCATCTTGGGCAGCTGGACAGGCCTTACTTCATATACTGATTATATATCCTGTGCAAATAGCTTAAACTACCCAAATCACCTCTGTTTGAACTGGCAAGACAGATGAGCACCCCATCCCTGCCGAGGCTACTGCTGCTAAGGACGACGGTCTTCACCCCCTTGTTGTGCAGCATCTCCATTGCTGCTAGAGCCTCACTCTCATTTGTTACTTTGGACCCTGATAAAAGTCTGTAACAAGCAAAAATGGGTTCAACTAAATTAACTAAAAATCTTGTTTTGTATCATGTAATTTATTGTTTATTGTTCGATTTCTCATTGAGCAATATTCTAGCTACTGTATATATTACTGTAGATAAGCCAATTTCATAGACCCTTAAAATCTCTATCAAAATGGTATGTTTCGTACATAAATTCGACCCCTTGTGATGGGGTCCTAATCGCGCCAACTCAGACCTGACAGTTACAGTTACCGATAATTATAACTTCGGTCTGCATTATTCACAACAATCACAACCATATTACGTCTACTCACGCCTCGAAATGAAGTGTAGTTGACAGAAAATAGATATATTTTGTTTTGCTAAATGTAATATTTATTGTAACCTGTGAAGGTCCAGGTTAGAATTGGCCTTCAGTAACTCATGCTTGTTTAAGAGGCGGCTATCGGGATCGGGTGGTCAGGCTTGCTGACTTGGTTGACAAATGTCATCGGTTCCCAATTGTGCAGACTGATGCTCATGCTGTTGATCACTGGATTGTCTGGTCCAGGCTTGATTATCTACAGGCCGCCGCCATATAGCTGGAATATTGCGGAGTGCAGCGTAAAACTTAACTCACTCACTCTCTCACATTTATTGTAGCTGACGATCACATGTCAACAAACTGTTTTCATGGAGGAAATAGCGAGATCCTGCGAAACCCATCAGGGACAGGTCAAATAGTTCCATGCATAAAAACATTCTGGCAATACACGAAAGTGCTGCCGCATAACCTTAGAGATGATTATACATATTTTACATTTATAAAACAAAACCAGTAGCTAAAACTACACAATGCTAGAATATATTTCTCTCGGTAAATTAATAGTTTTTGATATTATATTTTACCGATCACTGCATCAGAATTCATCCTGTTATGTTATTGGGTTTGTTCTAACTAAATCATTGGTAGATTGCCGGGAAACACGTGCACAGCTGATTGCTATTTCCGGCTCTATATGAGACAAATACACACAGTAATCTTAATATCTGCACATAACACAATGCCCAGCAAAAACAAGTTAGAACTGAAAAGGTAAATAATATTTTCTAGTGATGTTTAATTGCAAATTTGACATCTTCACTGACAAAGTCGTTTTCTCTTGTTTGTTCACGAGAAAGGATAGGATGTCGTTTTCTTACTGCTGGTCACCAGAAATCCGGCTTATCTACGGTAATATATGGTATGTGACTGTGGCCTGTAACTACTGATTATTCAAGTTGAAACCAGCAAAATTGATCAATACTGCATGGAGCAATCATTGATGCTGTCAGTGAATGAGGTCACTGACCATCAGCATGACCACTGGATCCACTTGGTCTCTTCTTGCAACCAGCATAAGTTTCTGGGAACTGCTCCAAATCAGAATTCTAACGAGAAAATGGGGAACGGACAACATCACTCATGTAATGTGCCGTCTTAAATATCATTGGGAACTGTGATGTACTCACTCAAGAAAACATCCTATCCTAATATGAGTTCATTCTTATGGGGTCCAGATACTCAAGGATGGGTCCATGTAATCAAGGATGGGGTTAATAAAATCTTGGATGGGGTTGAGATAATCTAGGATGGGTGGGGTTCCACATAATCTAGGATGGGGTTCAAATAATCAAGGATGGCATCCCGATAACCTGGGATGGCATCCCGATAATAAAGAATGGGGTCCAGATAATCAAGGATAGGGGTCCAGATAATCTAGGATGGGGGTCACATAATCAAGGATGGGGTCCAGATAATCAAGGACTGGGTCCAGATAATCAAGAATGGGGTCCAGATAATCAAGGTTGGGTGTCCAGATAATCAAGGATTGGGTCCAGATAATCAAGGTTGGGTGTCAAGGTTGGGTGTCAAGGTTGGGTGTCCAGATAATCAAGGATGGGGTCCAGATAATCAAGGATGGGTGTCAGATAATCAAGGTTGGGTGTCCAGATAATCAAGGATGGGGTCCAGATAATCAAGGATGGGTGTCCAGATAATCAAGGTTGGGTGTCCAGATAATCAAGGATGGGGTCCAGATTATCAAGGATTGGTCCATATAATCTAGGATGGGGTCATATAATCAAGGGTGGGTCCACATAATCTAGGATGGGGTCACATAGTGAAGGATGGGGTCATATAATCTAGGATGGGGTCATATAATCTAGGAATGTATCATATAAATACTGTCACACGGTGTACTCACTCTAGTTCAAACTGGTTGGGTGTTACAATGTCTGCTAAAGGAACGATGGACTCTCTGTAAACATCCAGCAAGTTTTCTGGAACATACTGTAAGGAGAGTGAACAAAGTCAAACACCGGCATGATTTTGCAGTAACCAATTCTTGTCAACCTTTATCTAGAGTAACATTTAAAATGTTACTTTAACAAGTAGCCACATATATATGTATTAGAACATTGTCTAGCTACTTCATACACATACAGAAATGTCTAAACAGTTACATGTTTGAAACACTGCGATGTAAATGCAGAACAAATGTAAACAAAATTTGCAAAAGAGAGTGCAGACCATCATGGCTCGTAAATATAGGATTAAAACCCCTCTCGAGCGAAACACTCTCTTCAGTGGATTTATCACTGAATGTGTTACACAGAAAATCTCACTCGTTTTTTTTTTTTAATAAAATGAACTGATGGAAATAAGAAAGGACAATACAACATTTCCTTTATTCTTTTCTAGGTTTATTTGATTTGTATTACACTGAGGGTGAAAATACGGAAATAGATTTAAGAACTCTTTAACTTTCATTCATGTGTTCCCTTTTTTGTTTCCATCAATATATATTAATGTAAGTCAATGTTAGATAGAAATTGTGACATCATTTGATTGGGACATGCAGTATGCAGTATCACTGGAGCAATATCTCCTAGAAGACATCAATTAATTTCACCCAAGTGATGTCTCTTGTGTATGCCAGTTTCGGATGACAAACTATCTCAACACTTCTACAGTCTTACCATTTTTCCATTGTCCCCCATAACAGGATCACACACTGAAACAAACAGAAGGCATGGCTTTTAGACACAGTTACACCATTTTGCTGTTGTCTTTAATTTGCATTTAATTTAATTTATTATTCCAACATGGTCTGTCTTAAGGACATCATATCTGTTCTAAATATAGACTTTGGCTATTGTTCTAGATTTAAAATCATTCAGTCTTGCAGCTTTTATCAATATTTTAGAATACTGTCTGGGACTTTCAGGATTTGTCTTGACCTCAGATTAGACTAACATCTAGTCTCTGAGGTGAGGTGAGGTGAAATTGGGTTTAAAGTCGTGCTTGAGAATATTTCGCTCATATGACGACATGCATGTGTGTATGTGTAATGCGGCAGCTTGTACTAGCCCAGACTGAAGCTGGTTTTATAGTGCTGAGCCCACTGAGATACCATGCCGCGAAAGTGAAGCATGAATACCCCCACTCAGGCACATTATACTGACTCTGAGGCTGCACCAGTCCTTGTTGTACCCATTAATGCCGAAATTTCAGGCAGGGACCAACAAGTACCATATTTTAACGCTCTTTTGGTATGACGCGATCGTCGGGATCGAATCCCATGACCTTCCGCCTCTCTCGGACGGACGCCTAACCACTACACCACGGAAGCTGCCCTCTAGTCTCTGAAAACATATACCAGTAAGAGAAACAAAGCTCAGTATTTACATTGAAAAGGAGCCCTATGAGATAGACTTGCTTCATTTAGAACATTTGTGCTGGCAGTGCTGGTTTGAAGGGAAAGTAATACAGTTCAGGACTGTGAGACAGACTACAGGTCGGCGTTCATCACTAAATCTGCAACAAATTTCAGTAAAAATTCCCAAGTTGGAATAATTCATTTCCCAATTCATGTAATTAATCAACAACTAATGCTATGGCTTTGTATAAGAGACTTGTGTTGCATTTACTAATTAGGCCATATCAATTTTATTTCTTGTTTTATGGATTTTTGTCCTCAAAAAACCTACAGGCAGGAGGAAAAAAAAAATAATCACCAGTCAAAGCAATATTCCTTCTAAATACTAAAAGTATTTTACTTTTGGCAATTTATGAAGTGTATATGGGGCAAAAAAAAACCAATCTAAAAAACAAATTCTTGTAATTCTTGTAAGTTTACATTTTTGTCCAATAAAAACATTAGGATTTTATTTTTTGAGCGGGGAAAAGTAATTTTTATTTTGTTTCTTATTCTTGAAAAAAAAACCCGGTGGGTCCGTAAAACAAGAAATAATATTGGTCTGGCCTTATAGCAAAATAACAATTTTTTCCCATAACTCCATTAAAAGGGCCTCAAGGATAAACCCAGGATACATCACTGACCATGAATATAACCCAGGATACATCACTGACCATGAATATAACCCAAGAGTTAAGAAGATTGAAAATGACATATTTCTTTGATCCCCCGACTTCAACTTCTTCAGTTTGTTGGCAATATTCAAGACGATTATAGCAGTTATACAAATATTTTCATTTCTTATTACCTTTCTTCAAGATAGAATAAGAAAGGAAAATGTATTGCTTTATTACATTGCTTTAGAATTAAACATCTTAGATGTGACTCAAATGTACCACATGACCCCTTCTCACCATACTCTACATCCCAAAGGAGAAAGAGGCTAAATGACGATTATAACTTGTGAATCGGACATACTATAATTGGTATGGTTTGTTTAAAAGTCTGAATCCATTGCAAACCTGAAAACATATATGCAAAGTTGTTCCTTAACAGTGCTTAAAAAGAACAAGGTGTTCATGTACAAAGCAACCTTAGTGCTAAGACTGCTGTGAGAATACATGAAGGCACGGATGTCACCTAAGTGCTAAGATCGCTTTGCACAACAGCAGCAAGAAATATCAGGGACCAGTCAATATTTTAACAAGGATGTACCACATGTTATCATTTTCTATAGCTAAAATACATGGAATTATCATGAAACGGCCCTCCCATTATCAGACATTTGCAGGCCGCTGCAAATGATATTGGACCGCTCAACCTTAACGACGGGCCACTATCAGTTCTGTTGTCAAGTGACGTCATAGTGGGTGCGTGGGCTTACAGTTCATTCGACATTAATTGGCTTTCAACTGGCAGATATTTTGGGTCAAACAAGTCAAAGCAATCCGAATTCCTGCTTTAAATAGTGGTAATATTGGCTTTCTTGTTGGTGCTAACCTTAACAATTGCACTATTAAGGCTGTTGATGGACCAAAACCGAACACTGACATAGTTTGACATGTTGCAGGCTATGGCCTTGTCGAAGGCCAAGGTCGAATATCGTCACTTTCTGTTGTGATGTCACTTGAATTGTTCGATGACGTAATTGCATTCGGGCAGTCAACCCCGTCAGAAGTTGATTTGGGTAAACTTCCAGTCAAATTTCTTCATTATTTCCTTTTTCTTTTCAACACAAATTCCATGTATTTTAGCAATAATAACGGTAATGCTAATGTGGGCATTATCATTTGCAGAAGCCCCTCAATCCTTTTCAACTGCCCTCCTTCGTCGGGCAGTTAATGGAAGACCTCGGGCTTCTGCAAATGATAATGCCCTCAAAAATAGCATTAGCCTTATAGTATATTTAACACTGTGTGTGACATATTGCAACTGTTGAAATGAACTCACCATATATTAGACTAGGATTATGACTTCTGAGTTCTTGAATTATTTCTTTAACTTTTTCTAGGAATGACTTTGAACCTATGTACCCTGAAATGAAAGATGGCAGTGAGATTAGTTAGAATGCAGCAAATTTAATGTATTCAACTGCAGTGAGGCTTCTGTCAAACCTCATCCTCTTGGTCCTGATTTTAGATACTGAAAACTTAATATATAATAATAGAAAATACTAATGTGGATTAGGAAAATGTCAAAGCCATCCTTAAGCATACTGAAAGTACTAACATTATCTTGGTCAATGGATCAGAGTGCACTTAGTTTTTATTCTCAACTCCTAGGGAGTACACAGTTCAAGTTTGCTTGTGGCTGGTTGATTTGTTTTAACGCCAGTACTCAGTAATATTGCAGCTATATGGCAGCGGTCTGTAAATAATTGCTTCTGGACCAGACAATCCAGTGATCAACAGCATGAGCATCGATCATGGTGATACGATGACAGGTCAACCAAGTCAGAGAGCCTGACCACCCGATCCCATTAGGCGCCTCTTACGACAAGCATGGGTTAGTGAAGACCAATTCTAACCCGGATCTTCACAGGTCCGTTTTCTTGCGAGTCATATTACCAGAGAGGATCCACGTTATAATTGGTCTTCCGCAACCCAAGCTTACCTAGAGGGGATCATTGGTCACACTCACTGATTGATGTTCATGATGTCAATCACTCACCTCGATATTTTACACGCTGCTGTCATACAGCTGATATATTGCTGAGTGCAGCATTAACAAACAAACAAAACAACACATTACCCTATAATGAAACCCTAACACCATTTTCTGTTCCGTTTTAGTTTGGTCACATCCTGTTTATCATTGTACCATGTGGCCCGTGAAGGTCCGGAATCTTCAGTAACCCATGCTTGTCGTAAGAGGTGACTAACGGGATTGGGTGGTCAGGCTCGCTGGCTTGGTTGACACATGTCATCATGCTGTTGATCACTGGATTGTCTGGTTCAGACTCGATTATTTACAAACCGCCGCCATACAGCTGGAATATTGCTGAGTGCGGCGTAAAACTAAACTCACTCACTCACTGTACCATGTATACTGTAAAACTCGACATAAATAATCTTTTTGCAGTTATTACATGACATGAATGTCTAGTAATTTTGTTCATCACCAAAGGCATTGTTACCATGGTTACAGCTAGAATGGTAGACTAACGTTTAATCCCTGAATACATATAATTGTCATAGTAGCAAATAAACCCATTTAAATTGAAAAGGAGACCCAGTGAGACCAGAGATTCAGGCCTGAACCTGAGGAAATCTAGACTTGCTTCATTTAGGGCTTTAGCATTGCAGGGAGGGCTAAGCATTGGGGAAAATAATATGGTTCAGGGACTGTGAGACAGACTACTAGAATGGTAGCATTTGTGTCATCACGCTAAGCATGTAAACCTGTGGTTGATGTTGTAAGCATGTCTGTGACACTGAACATCAAAATAAGATAGGTCAAACTTGAGAGATAGTTATCCATTATCCATCATCCATGTACTGTACCGGCTGCCAAATAGTTATAGCCAATACACCAGTATCATGTGTGCACAGTTCCAGTCAATTACAATTCCAGTATTTTTTCCCCATGGTATTTGACAACAATAAAAGACAGCAAAAGAAAATTACTCACGGTAAGTAACATCAGAGAAATATTAAAGATAAAGTTATGAACACTGTAAAAAATTGTTTAACTTAGCTGAGGGATGTCACACAATTTATGTAATAGCAAGTTCAAGTTCACAAAGGTCATTAATTGTTTCCCCATTCCCTATCAATCTACTGTAAAAACCCACTCAACTAGTCAAACAATCAATTATTCGAGGTTACTTTATGATATGTATCTGACATGACAAATTCAGAAATGGCGATAACTGTTACACTACAGTTAGTTGTGAGAAAACATCTATCTATACTGCCATGATTCCCTTCCGCCACGTTATATATAAACACGATCGGCGGCAGTGAACGGGCTAGACAAATCGGTGAATAGCTAATTAAGTATCATAGTTAATTCTGTTTCATTAATTTAACGAATATCGGAGTAATTTTGTAAATACCACTAAAATATGGCGGTAACTGTTCGGCAGCCAGTGTACATATGGATGCCATGACACCATCAGGAAGAACATCTAAGTGTTAGACCAGAAATACAAATGTATCACAAGATATTGAGTGGACCGGTGTGATTCAATCTAACAATTAACAAGTACATGTTGTAGCAAAGAAGTGACAATCAAATATCAGTTGATATACACTGTACACGTGTCACAGAAGACAATTAATTAGATACCCCATCAACACCACTTGTCAGTCCATTTGAGCTCAGGGTACCGAGCTCAGCAGTCCATGGAAACAAGAGCGCTTTGAAAGCTGCCAGGGGTGCAGCTACCATTATAAAGAAAAACTGGGCTTACACATGATTGTTGCTAAATGGTTGGACAATCCCTCAATACTATCTTAATATAAAGCTTTGCAACCTATCGGGCTTACACGAAAAAATTGGCTTGTTTCGTGCCTGGCTGCTAACAGTTAATCAAAGTATCCTGTGACACAATTGGAATTTTGTGAACACTTTTCAATTGTGTTTGTCCATTTCCTGTTAATGAAAATTCATTAGACAAGATAAAATCAATACACACCATTGTCAGTTATACTGTGGTGTGGTCACATGGTGCAATGCAAGGGGTAGCAAGTTAGGTTTGTGTATTTACCTGTTAAAATATGTGAAAATTGCAGTAAATTGTTGACCTTGAGACCCTCATAGAGGTCAGTGACATCTTGGTCGTTTAAGACTTGACCTTTGAATTTTCCATACCCTGAAAGCAAAGTGATATACAGAAAGTGATACATGTTCATCATCTGCAACTTCAAGTTGACTATGGTTGCCTAACATCATCATATTGAAAAATTCATGAAAATTGCTTCCCTGCATACAGCTATGATAGGCATCAGATGAGAGTCATCATGGCATCACATTTTGTAATACAAATCAAAACAAAACAACTACAGTGTTGTTTAAAATTTGATCTAACCTGTGAAAATCTGAGTTAGAATTGGTCTTCAGTAACCCATGCTTGTTGTAAAATGCGAATAACGGGATCGGGTGGTCAGGCTCGCTGACTTGGTTGACACATGTCATTGTATCCCAATTGCGTAGTTTGATGCTCATGCTGTTGATCACTGGATTGTCTGGCCCAGACTCTATTATTTACAGACCGCTGCCATATAGCTGGAATATTGCTGAGTGCAGCGTTAAATAACAAACCAACCAACCAACCAAAATTTGATCGTTCCATTTGCAGATTGATCCTACTATTTCAAGTTATGTTTAACTTTGGTAGAAAATCAGTTACATGTACCTGTGTGATTAGAAAACTGAACTGAGTTGATGGTGCTGACGTCAAATCCATGTACCTGTAACATAAACAAAGGTGTTATGACACGGAGGTAAACACAGCCCAAAATTACATGACATAAATGGAGGAGAACTGGGGGGAGTCATGTGACAACTCGAGGGGTGATTAACTGGAGTAATACAAACAGAAAAGTAATGTGAGTGAAAGGGTTTAGTTTCATGCCACTTATAGCAGTATTCCAGCAATATCACGGCGGGGACACCAGAAAGGGGCTTTGCACAATGTGCCCATGTGGGGAATCGAACCTGGGTCCTCGGCGAGGCGGTGAACGCCTTAACCAGTAGGCTACCTGACTGCTCCAGAAGAGTATTGTGACACAAGTAATGGAGTATTCAGACTCAAGTGAAGGAGGGGTATGACACAACTGGAGAAATACTATGACACAGATGGAATAGGACTCTGAGAGGAATAATGAAACAAGTTGAAGAGTAATTTGACACAAGTTGATGTAGTAATCTGACACAAGTGGTTTAAGAATGGACTTGAAAGGGAGGAATGTGACATAAGTGGCAGAGGAACGTGACACAACTAGTGGAGGAATGTGCACCAAATGGTGGAGGAATGTGACACAATTGGTGGAGGAATGTGACAACTTGTGGAGGAATGTGACAGAACTGGTCTAGGAATGTGACAATTGGTGGAGGAATGTGACACCTGGTGAAGGAATGTGACAAATGGTGGAGGAATGTGACACAAATGGTGGAGGAATGTGAACCAACTGGTGGAGGAATGTGACAACTGGTGGTGGAATGTGACACAATTGGTGGAGGAATGTGACAACTGGTGGTGGAATGTGACAAATGGTGGAGGAATGTGATAGAACTGGTGGAGGGATGTGACAACTGGAGGAGGAATGTGATAGAACTGGTGGAGGAATGTGACAAATGGTGGAGGAATGTGACATAAGTGGCAGAGGAACGTGACACAACTACTGGACGAATGTGAACCAAATGGTGGAGGAATGTGACAACTGGTGGAGGAATGTGACACAACTGGTGGAGGAATGTGACAACTGGTGGAGGAATGTGACACAACTGGTGGTGGAATGTGACAACTGGTGGAGGAATGTGACATAATTGGTGTAGGTGAGGTGAAATTGGGTTTAACGTCGTGCTTGAGAATATTTTGATCATATGACGACGTGTATGTGTGGGTATATGTATATGCGGCTGCTTGTACTAGCCCAGATTGAAGCTGGTTTTATAGTGCTAGCCAACTGAGATGCCGCAGTGAAGCATGAATACCCCACTCAGACACATTATACTGACTCCGAGGCGACCAGTCCTTGTTGTACCCATTAATGCTGAACGCCAGGCAGGGACCAACAAGTACCATATTTTAACGTCTTTTGCTATGACGCGGTCGGGGATCGAACCCGTGACCTTCCGCTCTCCAATTGGTGGAGGAATGTGTCACAATTGGTGGAAGAGTGTGACACAAATGGTCTAGGAATGTGACAGAACTGGTGGAGGAATGTGACACAAATGTTGGAGGAATGTGACACAAATGTTGCAGGAATGTGACACAAATGTTGGAGGAATGTGACACAACTGGTGGAGGAATGTAGACACAAATGGTGTAGGAATGTGACACAACTGGTGGAGGAATGTGACAACTGGTGGAGGAATGTGACACAAATGTTGCAGAAATGTGACACAAATGTTGCAGGAATGTGACACAAATGGTTGAGGAATGTGACACAAATGTTGCAGGAATGTGACACAACTGGTGGAGGAATGTGACACAATTGGTTGAGAAATGTGACAACTTGTGGAGGAATGTGACACAAATGTTGCCGGAATGTGACACAATTGGTGGAGGAATGTGACACAAATGGTGGAAAAGTGTGACAGAACTGGTGGAGGAATGTGACACAAATGTTGCCGGAATGTGACACAACTGGTGGAGGAATGTGACAACTGGTGGAGGAATGTGACACAATTGGTGGAGGAATGTGACACATGTGTTGCAGGAATGTGACAATTGGTGGAGGAATGTGACACAAATGTTGCCCAAAATTGGTGTAGGAATGTGACACAAATGGTGGAGGAATGTGACAACTGGTGGAGGAATGTGACACAATTGGTGGAGGAATGTGACACATATGTTGCAGGAATGTGACAATTGGTGGAGGAATGTGACACAAATGTTGCAGGAATGTGACACAACTGGTGGAGGAATGTGACACAACTGGTGGAGGAATGTGACACAACTGGAGGAGAAATGTGACAAAACAAACACAAGCAGAAAATCAAGACACTTCCTGCAGATGCAATTCACCACAGGAACCAATAGGGCTGGCTATTGATATAGATCATAGAGACCAATAATCTTTACTAAATATTATTTGATTAATGAATAAACATCAATCTAGTAACTGTGATAAAATATGCAAAACAGATCGAAAGGAAATCAAGATATTTCACATTACAGGCAAGTGATTACCATCAACTGCAGCATTCTGAACATAATTTAGAAGCAGCTATTTTAGTGTAATGTGAGCCTAAATTAAAACTTTAGATTATCACAGTTTATGCAGGATGTTATCAATGACACAATTGCCGCACATAAAGTCATTAAAAATTCTTCAGATCAACGGTATTTCCGATTATCTTCAGCCATCACTAGGAGCAGATGAAAACACACTGATTTGCACAATCGGTAGAGTCACATGATCTTCCTCACCACACATGGTGAAGGTAAAACTTGCCTGCATGCACAGTTCACAACAACAGATAAATTCCAGACGTCACTCCCTCCTGACACACCTGCAATATGAATGCTGTCAGACTGCTTCCCGACGATCCCCATACAAGTGATGGCTGTATGGACAGGACCCAGCTACCTGTCACCATTGTACCGATCTCATCTACCTCCATATCTAGACCTCAACAATGTACAACCATCTGTACTGTGTCTATCTCATCAACCTGACTACCTCAACCTAACCATGTAGGGCCATCTGTCATTGCAGACAGTTCATCAGCTGTTTCCTCATTACAGCTCAAAGCAAATTGCTCATCATAACAGAAATTATAAATTCAGTTCATGTGTATTTTTGTAGCAATATTTCTGTATGTTCTAAATATGTAATTTGCTAATGGGATGGGCTTGTGTAAGTATTGTTATTCATGAGCACAGGTACAGGTAATTACTTTTTGCATCCTCACGCATTACACCTTACGGAATATATATATATACGCATAATGAATGTTTCCACACAGATGAGCTTGATGAACTGTAAGTGACAGTACATACTGATGAAAGATTTTCAGGCAGCTTGTGTTCATCATGTTCATCCAGCTTAGATCACTTAAAACTTGCCTAGTTTACTATCAAGATTTGTTTTGAGTCATTCACAGGGTGCAAGATGGTACAAATATGAGGCTGCATTTTGCAGTTTCAGGAACAGTTCAAAATGCTTACACGAAGCCCTGTGGGACTGCTATTTCAAGCCTAGTTTTGAGTGAGTGAGTGCTTGAGTATGGTTTTACGACGCCTTAGCAATATTCCAGCAGTATCAAGGCAGGGGACACCAGAAAGGGGCTTTACACAGTGTACCCTTGCAAGAAATCGAATCCTGGGTCTTCGGCGCGAGAACGCTTGTAACCACTGGGCTACCCTCTAATCACCCTCAGTGTTTGGGAGTGTCTGGAATGGGTACAAACATGGAGAACTGGGGTATCCAGTCTACTCTGGAAATCCACACATGGTGAGTGAGCATGGTTTTGACCCGCTTTTAGCAATATTCCAGCAATATCACAGTGGGGACACCAGAAATGGGCTTCACATTGTACCAATGTGGGGAATCGAACCTGGGACTTCGGCATGACGAGCGAACGCTGTAACCACTAGGCTACCCCACCGCCCCGGGAATCCACACATAGAACTGGCTTAAAAGATAAAAAATCGGAAACATTGTCGTAACAAGAATTACTAATGATCATTGATATGAAAATTGTGTCAGTTGATAATATCCTATTGTCATGAATAAAGTTTTTTATTTACCCACATAGTACACAAATTTAAGTCTATATTCATGGGCTGCTTTTAAATTCTGATCAGGGCCCTGTTATGTTTTTGAAGGTATTCCATACATAAATGTGTCACCATCCAGTAGTGATGGGATATAGATTAATTTCTTTCAGATTTTTCTTTGTTATTTTTGCTCCAGATATTTCTCCGATATTTATTGATTAGATTGATATTTAGTTCACAATGATTTAGTTCACAATCCTCAATCTCAATGATCTGTACTGACATCCAGCCCTATCCACACAAATAACAAAACATGGAATTCTGAGAGTTTTTATTGAGTTTAGTTTTGCCATACTAGGCAACATTCCAGCGATGTGGTGGCAGAATTCTGAGAGATCTAAGTACATGTAAATAAAGTTATTACATAAAGGTGACCACAAATGTTTTGGTTTACAAGAAAAATCCATCCAATGTCAAAGATTGAAGAATGGGAGTAAGAAGCCATTTGCTACAGAAATTTATCCATTACATTATTTCTCCTTGAGGTGAATCTTTCAACCATAAATATCTCCTTCCAAAATTTCTGATAACTGATAGATTTTGGTTTTATGTCTTAAACATTCCTTAAATGGATATGTCTTTTGCACAATAGAAGCTGATAAAACAACAGATTAGAGCACTCTCAGCTATCATTGCTAATTAATCTCATGCCAATATGTTTCTAAAGTAAGTATTTGTGCAATCCCCTTCATTTTTAAAATAGTGAAGTATCTTCACTAATCCATACCAAAACATTGATTTGTGCCACAACATAAAAGCATCTCCTTCCAAATTTCTGATAGTGATGGATTTTTTGGTTTATGTCTTAAACATTCCTTATGGAATCCTAATCATTTTAGTAATTTATTATTAGCCTGTAATGTGTAGTAATTATATAATATGAAATCTAGTCTCCTTGTTTACACTATGGAATCTTTCTTAAGAAAGTAATTATATAATATTCTAGGTAATCGTTTTACATGTCACATGAAAATTATGATGTTTACTGGCAAAATATATCATACAGCTGTGACGATATATCGTAAGTAGTATAATTGTGATAATTTTGATCTGACGATAAATATACTTTTTCAGACATTGTGATATGTATTGTTGACCTTAAAATAGTTAATTTTCACTAGAAATTGAGGGTTATGACAAACTTTACACTGTTACTTGCTATCAAAATATACTTTTTCTAAAGAAAATAACTCAAGATAGCATATCATGATATGCATCGAATTGAATCGTGAAATTTCTGTATTGTCAAACACCACATATATCAATCAATGCAGTTCACTTGTGGACCAACTCTATGGTACAGTGGATAGAATGCCTGCTGAAAGAATACAATGTCAGTGTTTTCATTCCTGGACGTGTCATACAAAAGAGCGTTGTTTGAAGATGGTACTTGTTGGTACTCTACTTAATGAAATCAAAGCTAGTCATTTGTTCATACCAAATCGTCACTATAATTTCAGACACTGGCATAAAGATGAGGAAAAGTTGTTTAACTAACGATCATGTAAATGTAGGCATTTAAATGACTGTTGTTAACAAGGGGGTATGCACAAGAAACAAAACATCTAAAGGGTTTTGTGCGAAACACAGGGATAGTCTCAAAATTATCTGTCAACACAGAACACATACCTACATTGAGATAATGTCTGCTATTTAGACCTACATGGCATTAACAATTTGGGGATAACTGTACTGTGTTTGACGAATTGGGGACGTATACCGGTGGTTATATAGTTGCATAATTAACATTATATCGGCTCTGCTTACGCGCTCGCCAATATAACTAATTAAATCGAAACACAGTACAGTTATCCCATTCTAATTCAACTTCGTTTTACGCTGTTTTAAGTGAAAGGAAATTCATTATAATGAAACCAGCAGGTCAAAGTGTTTCTAGGTAAAAGGTAAATCATATCACTCCTTGAACTTACACCATCGCCAGAAAAAGTAGTTCCTTTCTCAAACTTCAACACGTTTATTATGTGCACACTGACTAAATCTGAAAATGATGAATAAATTATAGTGTTATAGCTAAAATGGACCAGAATTATCATGAAACCACCTCTATAGTTATCAGAAATGAGTGGTCATAACCAAATGATAATGGCCCGGTGATTCCTCAACTACGGGCCACTATCTGTTCTGTTGTCAAATGATCGCCACAGCAGGTGACGTCACACTCCATAATGACGTCATAAATGTTGTTTCATGTTCTAACAGTGTTGGGTCAACAGCGCCAATGGCGGTAAGTTGTTTGAACTTCTAATTAAATTTATGATACTGTTTTTGTCTTTTAACACAAATTCCATCCATATTAGCGGGATAAGGGGAGTTAAACTGACCTAGGGCTTCTGCAAATGACAGAAATGTCCTGAAAAACAGCATTACCTCAAAAAGGATACATTCAAAGGTTTTGGTGAATAGGTTTAGAATTGGGCCGTAATCGTATATGCTGAATATATCGGGTCGGAATTTATAGCATTGACCAATCAGAACTCGTGGTTACATACTAAGTTGAATTAGAATACCACATTAATATATTGGCATTAATGATCTGTTAGTGGTCACTCACTTCTCGGTGTGAATAAGCAGGTATATTTCATTTGTAATTTAGCACAGAGTTCTAGGATAGTATCAACCGCTTAAAAATAAATTAAATATTCATTGTATAAAATAGTGTGTCATTGCAAAATGACACATGTATTCATGTTTAAAACCAGACATGGTGTCATAGCACAATAATATATGTACTCGTACATATGACCCCAAATATTTCATCATTTTCAAGTCCGAATGACTAAAACCACAGGGACTTGTATTGTTGAAAAATAATACGTCCAAGGTCCTATATGTAGATGGTTATCAGTGAACAAGTGTTGACTCCAGGACTGTATTTATTTCCCAGCAATACAAGGCCCATGTAGGTAAAGAGTACCGTAAAACATTGAATTTATGTTATATCTGTCTCTAAAGCTTTGTAAAGATAAACATGCATTATCTTCACAGTTAAGGTTTGTAAAATACAGCAAAGTTTTATGCATTGCTATGCGTAAGAATAAAACTGAATTTTCAGAATTGCGGCAATGTTATGAACAACGTTCGACCCACTCCGGCCACGCCCCTCTTTAGTGCTGTTGACCACGCACACGGGCATCGAACCGCTTCACGGGTCACGAGCGCCGGAGTATTACGTACGTGCTTTGCCGTTTTCAAAGCTACCAAGATACCTTTTCCGATTCATATATGTTACCTGGAGAGGAATATGTCGCACTCTTTGTTGCCAACATAACCGTAAACCACTGTGCTCTGAATCGATAGGACCCGGCGATCGTCAGTGTCCGTCCTACTCGACATGATGTCTTCGTGCTTTATCACTGACCTCTGAACACATGGTAGTGTTTACTTCCGGTTCAACGGGGGCACCTGCTTAGACTGCGTTCAATTAAAAGCGGTGCGCAATTGCCGAGTATGCGCTTTGACTCCGCTTTCTGCGCAACTCTTTGAGTGTCAAGGACAGTCTTTGACGGAAGTCTTATTTCGTGGTAAGGTTTGTGTATCAATGATTTTGCTTCATTAATAATAAAGCATTTTAATGAAGCGTTGAAAGAACACGCGTGGAGAACTGATTTCGTTTTATGAATTCGCGGACTGCTTCCAGAATATAATACTACAGCCACATAAAGAAACTGTGCATTGTCAAAATATTATCCCAGTTGATAAGTACGATAACAATGTCAAAGGTACATATAAACTTTAATGGAGGGATCATGAGACCATAACAAGTCGGGAGAATTTCAATTGAAAAGTCAATCACAATGACGTCACGAGTCCACAAGCGGGACAGGGGTCAAACGACCATGTCACAAGCTCAATAAC